ATGAGATAATTTATTTCAGTTAAGGAAAGCTAGCTAGAAATAAGCCAAGCTAAGGCTGAGCATTTATAAGAAAGTATAAGCCTCCATGTGATTTATTAGGGAGCTGGGTGGCAGACCTCCCAAAGAGACAAAAGAGTAGAAAACAACCAACAACATCATTCTATGTTATTCTTTCTTCTCCAAAGTATGAAAGAATATATGTGATCATCCTCCAAGCTGATTAACAAAGCTTGTCTTTTTTATTTTTATTTTTTATTTAATTTTTTTTCATTTTACATACCAACCCCAGTCCTCTCTCCCTCCCCTTCTCTTGTCCCCTTCCACTTCCCTCCCTTCCCACTCCTCAGAGAGGGTAAGGCCTTCCTTGGGGAATCAACAAAGTCTGGCAGACTAAGTAAGGCAGGACCAAGGCCCTCCCACTGTGTCAAGGCTGAGCAAGGTATCCCACCATAGGGAATGAGCTCTAAAAAAGCCAGATTATACACCTGGGATAGGTCCTGGACCCACTGCTAGGCTTCCCACTCCTCACCCAACAGATCAAGCCACATACATTCAGAGGGCCTAGTTGTCTTAATCCCTACACTGACCTCACTCTGTTTGACCAAACTTCCCAGACTCCTATTTGCTAAGGAAGCTCTCCCATATGGGTCTCAGCCACACCTTCCCCATGTTCTCTCCCTACTACTGCTCATTCTCTCTCACCTAGTTACAAGCTACTGTCCTACGAAGATATCCCATGACACCACCAAGATTCTAACTCACTGTGCCAACAGTCCACCATGGATGCCCTCCTCATATCACACCAGATTGCTTCTCACTGAAACATTCACTGCTCTCTAGCTGGGATTACACTCCTCACCAAAAATCTTCCTATGTGAACCACTTCTATTTCCAAACTTGAACTCACTGGCTACATAAGCTGTCCCCTAGCACATGGATACTACCATCTCAACATCTAAGCCCTCACATTGTAAGCTGGGCTATATCCTGTCAACCCAATTCATGCTTGCTCCTACACACCAGCTCCTAAGTCACTGGAGTATCCCATTCACTGGATACCCATATTGTTTGGTTACACCTAATATTATTCATACTGAGTTGCTTAGGAAAGGAAGAAAAGGCAAAAACGAAATAGATGTAAAGAAACCTGGAAGGGCCATGGAGATGGCCCAATGAGTGAAAATACTGCTGTGAGGCCTATCAACCTCAGTTGGATTCCCAGATCCATGTAAAGGTGGAGAACCTTCTAACCAACAAACACATCCACACCCCCACACAAAATAAAACTTTTTTCATAAAACATAAACGTGGGGCAAAGATTTTGTCTTGAGATAATTTATCATCCTTCCAGAGCTTTTCAATTAAACTATATGCTATATTAACATAAAAAAACAGCTGTTCCAGGAATGGGGTTCAGTTGGGAGAATGTTTTCCTAGCATTCGGGAATCTCTGGATCAAATCCCTAGAATACCACATGAGGAGGTGGTAAAACTCTAAGACCAGCACTTATGAAGAGTGGACAGGAGAGTTTGAAGCCATCCTGGAAAACATGAGATCCTGTCTCAAAAAAACCAAAATAGCATGCCAAAAGTTGGGCATGGTGGTATTGCAGACCTATAATCCCAATTACTTGGGAGACAGATGCAAGAGTCCAAAGTCATCCTTGCCTACATAGTAGTTCTTGTTCAAGGCCATCCTTGGTTACATGTGACACTATCCCAACACCAAACAACAAAAAAGATATGCCAAATAAGAACAAAAAAGTAAATATAAATATTTAAAGAAAGGTGAGAACCCATAAAATTCATAAAGTACTTAAAAAGTAAAAGATGGAATCTATTTTTTAGGCAGCAAACTAAAGAAAAGAGATGTCTAACAATTTGGCTTTATTACAAATTTTCTTTTGGTGTTAAGATTAAACCTAAGACCCATCAATGCAGGGAAAACACTCTATACCACTATTTTACAACCTCAAACCCACTATTATTCATTTGATGGAAACATTTAAAGCAAACACATAGGTCTCTTTTTAGTATTCAGCACTGTGAGAGACTGAAATAAAAGCCAATCCTGAGGATGTTAAATTACACAAGCTTCCGAACCCTAGTTTATGAAATTTCTTTTCATTTCAGTAAATTTCATTTCAGTAAAAAAAGGATCAAAAATCTGCACACTGAAACTTTTTTAAAAAAATATAAACATCTGTACAATACTACCTCTTCCTTTGCTAAGTAGGAATATTTCTAGGACAGGATAGGTCACCTGCTCATGAATACAGAACAACTACTAGAGTGTCATCGAGTGTTAGGCACACTCAAAAGTAGGTAATAACCAAGACAAAATAAGGTTCCTCAATTCTGAGTTAAAATCTAGAAAATATCTATTTGAATGTACAACCTACCAACTTCAATTTATCCTTCAGTTTATCTCAACTTGAGTTTCTTCCACCTAGACTATAGTTCTCAAAAAAAAAAAAAAAAAAAGTACAACACAGTAGGAGATGCCAACCTCTATTTGGAGTGAATGACTTTTTGTTGTAGGATGCTTGGCAGAATCCCAGAACTATTAAGCTCAAATCAGTTACAGGGTAATAACATGTATTTGATAATGTATAGCAAGCATTTGTTAAGTTTCGTTCTTTGTGGCTTTAGTGATTTTTTTTCCTCTGATCACATGCAATATAATTTATATATGATTTCTCAGAATACATACTATATTGTCTTTTCATACATGTTCAAACATACATATACAACAACATTATAGGAGAGCATCAATGAAGTTTTCTTAAAAAGAGAAATAGAACTGCTAAGTTAGGGCATAGTAATCATTAGAAATTTGACAGACTAATGAATATCAATGTTTCAAGAAATATAAAGTGGCAAGTTCTGATCCACGTCAGACATTCAAAGTTGGCACCTTTAAAAAAAAAATGGTTGTCCTGAATAACAGCTTTATCAATAACAGGTGTCCCATTAATATTAGAAACCTCACACAATATAGTATTTCTTCCGTGGTTTTTGTTTATTTGTTCTAGGGAGAAATTAATACTCAAGTTCTTCCAGACGGTCAAGACTGAAATGTATTTGGAAGTATTTGGAGTATTTGGAAGACTAGGTAATAGAGGCTAAAATGTAAAAACGGGAACAGTCTCTTCAGAGAAAAGAACAGGCATAGATGAGACTACGATGAGATTTATTCCTGCTGCTGGTACACAATCACTTATGGCTTGTTACCTGTGTTGCTTTCAACCCACCCCTGACAGGACCACAGCACCCACCCCGACCCACCCCTGACAGGACCACAGCACCCACCCCGACCCACCCCTGACAGGACCACAGCACCCACCCCGACCCACCCCTGACAGGACCACAGCACCCACCCCGACCCACCCCTGACCCCGCGTCAGGACCGCTCGCCCCAGGACCGCCCGCTTCAGCTCGCAGCCCGAGCCCAGGCCAGCACTTACCAGATGGAAGGAGGAAGCCATGTTTCCGGCCCACGATGCCCGACGGAGGCCTCAGAGGGAAACCCTAGCTGGCCAAGGTTCCAGGAGGGTCAAGAGAAAAAGCCGTCCGCCTGGGGTTAGACGGCGGAGGGAGGCGGCCTAGGCGCCTCCGGATCCGCACTTGAGACTTCCGCCCTAAATAAACACCAGAGACCAGCGCAAAGGAGATTCAATAGAGTTGCGCATGCGCAAAAAAAACCGCGCAACGAATAGAACACGGGCCGTTATTTGCGTTATTTAGAGTACCACCCTTCGTCCCGCCCCCTGGTCCGTCACTCCACCTATCAACCTGCCTTTCTCAGGTCGCCCTGCCCTCCGGCCGGTTGTCTCTCCCTCCCTCGGGTTTCCGGGCCTCTCGCCCGGCGCCCCGCCTCCCGCCCGGCGCCCCGCCCCTCGCCCGGGGCCCTGCCTCTCCCTCTTGCCCCCTGCGTCTCACTCTTGCCCGGTGCCCCGCCCTCCCCTAGGGTTGCGCTCCTGTGCGCATGTCTGATTTTACATGGCCAGTATATCGAGCATATGTACTCCTTGAGATAAATGTATAATACATCCCAGCAGTTTATTACTGATTAATAGGCAATAGTAAGAAGGATTAGAGAGCCGGGCCGTACTGGCGCTCGCCTTTAATCCCAGCACTCGGGAGGCAGAGTCCAGCGAGTCTTTGAGTTCGAGGGCAGCCTGATCTATAGAACGAGTTTCAGGACAGCCAGAGCTACACAGAGAAACCCTGTCTGTCTCGGAAAAAAAAAAAAAAATCGCAAACATTTTGAACAGATTACACTACACAGATTCGTCAGCTGCAGCCAGGCCAACTCATCTATCCATTATCTCTGAAAATAATACTAATGTCTTGTACCTTTTTTCAAGTATGTAGAAATTATTTATGAAGTATCATTGAAGATAAAATAATCTGCATAAATATGTGTGTGTTATTAAATCGACTTATTAAGGGAAAATGGTTGCTTCAGTCTTATGCAAAGTTAAAGTAATGGTCCAGATTGAAAAACAAACCGATGTTCTGAGAACTATCCTGTACCACTTCTGGGTCACCTACAGTCACATAGTTGCAGCCTGTAGCTAGCTGCTCTATATCCTGAGAAGACAGGACGCCCTTTTAAAAAAAAAAATGAATGAATAGGGGCTAAAGAGTTATCTCTGTGATCAAAAGCTCTTGCTGCAGTTTCAACGGAGCTAAATTGGTTTCCAGCACCCAAAGAACAGTTCACAACCAACTGCAGCTCCAGTTCCAGGGAATCCGACGCCTTTTTCCGAATTTAGCTGGCACCAAGCATGAACGCGATGCACTTGTATACATGTAAACAAAACGCCCATACCTATAAAGCATTTTTTTTTAAAACTGGAGATTATTTTAGGATGATGGGGTTCTCTACCAGCTGCACTCATGGCTGAGGCTACATCTACCGGGCTTGCCGGCCAGATCCGCCAGGGGGCAGCAGAGGCGCTGCAAACCCAAAGGGCCTGAGTGGTATTTCTTAATCCTAGTCTCCAATGGAAAGCTGCTGAATCCAAGCAGTTTACACCTTGTACAACACAACGACTATCCAAACCTCAAAGAGCCAGCTGATCATGGTAGTTGAAATGCAGTCTTTCTTCTATGCTGGAAAAAAATCTGGGGACTGTTGTCCTAAAATGCAACACTGCACTTCATGGGCATTTTGAACAAGAAAGACCTGTGACCGAATGGAAATATACGATTCTGAATTGTTCAACATGCAGACATTGTTTGCTGGAGAAGCAGTTGAGAGTGAATCTACTCCAGAAAGTCAGATTAAATGTTTAGGATAAAAATGGATTTTTGCTTCGAAACCTTGGGAACCAAAAAGCATAAGCAACCTCTGAACTCCAGGAGAATAAACAAAGTTGACAGTGAATCTTTCTGTCTCCCAGCTGCAAAAGACAAAGAGAACATCACTAATACAGTGGTTTTAAGCGCTCTCGGTAGTGATGCCATCAAAGATGACTTGCAAGCTGACTCCCCCCCACCTCCCTGGATGCATCCAACCCTGAAGACCTGCACGCAGATGAAAACATCCTGTCCCCTGGAAAGTATGAAGCTCTTAAAAGTCCGTATGAAACCTTCAGAAAGGTCACATACTGAAGATGGTTGACCAGGACAGCCACTGCTTCTGGCTGAAGTCGGCCAGGGAATAAGGAGAATGGAGACCGCCGAGATAAAAGCATCTATTTTCTAAAGACTTCATCAAGTTTATAGCTAAGAGAGCCAGAAAGGGGGCACATGCGCTGGGACCTGGAATCCTCCACATCCTCAACACTTCACCTGTCTGACCTACGAGAATGGCAGTTCACAGAGTTTAATTTCGAAATCTTTGAAGGCAGCAATGACTGTGTGTATGATCATACACACATTGGGCATAAATGACTTCAAGATTTTCCTGATGGTGTCACAGGGGAAATGCCTATGTCCTATGTTTGGATCAACTTTCAGTATTTGTTAATTCAAAATGACTATAGAAATCCATAAACGATGAAAATGGCAAACTTTATCTTATAGGTAGTACATAAAAATAAGAGATTGTGTAAAAGAGGAACTATGTTTCAGAAATGAAATATTGCTGAAATAGGGAAAACTCATATTGAAAAATGTTAACATTAGCAAAACGGAATCTGATTATGGGACACATCCAATGTTAGAATAAAATCTCACTAATTCCATGGCCAATGAGGGACTCTATCAATCTAGGATTGGTTATAAAGAACAAGAATGTATAATCAATCATTAGTTCAGATTAGAACTCATCCACCATCAGGCATTTAACAGCTTACAGAAATGTAGGAGGAATGATAAAAAAAAAATGTGTATTATGGGGAAAGATATTGGAGAACCATGCTCAAAGACGAGGTGTAGAATTAGGCCACTGTTTCTACAATCATGAAGCAAATTGAAAAACTAGGAACCTGGTAATAATGTCAGTCTCTAAGAACATTTAGGCAACACAATCAGGAAGTCACCACAATTACAAAACTGCCACCTCACGGAAGCGTCCACAAATAACACGCCAGTGAACATCAAGACTGCTCATAGCATCTGAGTTAATGCCATATCACAGCTGATACACACCAGCACAACCGATGTCCCCCGGCGAGGTTGTCAACAGCCATAAAGCTAGTGACCACACACTGTACCACCCCATCACATTACCATGGAAACATCAGATGCTTATGAACCATTCCTGCCTTTTCTTTGGTGAGAAAATTCAAAAGCAGCTTCTCTTCTGCCTTGCCATCACATGATTCTCCCAATCTTACTTGGAAAATTTTCTGGAAAATGCAGAGGTTTTTTGTTTGTTTGTTTGTTATCTTTACAGCTTCTACAGTGAAGAACGACACACTAGGAAGGGTTGGAATGGATGTGAGGCATCAGTCTACTTTGCTTTCACCAGTATGGCCAACTAAATCATCTTAAAAGAAAAGCAGAGGCTTGAATTTTGTATAGATTGAGTTTGTAACCATAGAATGAATTTTAAACCAATTTGATTCATAATATTATTATGACTCTAGCCTCGAAGTATCTATAATTCTCGATTCCTAGTTTCTGTTGGAGCTAGCAGTAGCTTGTTATTGACTTCATTTGGGAACTTACTTAATGAGGGAAGGGTTGATTTTGCTCATGTTTTCAGAAGTCTCACTTCATTATGACACAGGGGAGGGGATATGGTGCAGCAGAACACACCTACCATAGACGCCAGAGAGGAGAGAAAGCATGCCTAGCTCATAGCCCTCTTTTCCCAGCCTCTTGTTCCATCTGGGTCCCCAGTGAGTGGGACGGTACCACCTACTTTCAGAGGGAATCTTTTCCTCTTAGTTACTGTTTTCTATAAATTTTCTCACAGACACATCCAGAATTATCCTTTGCTAATTTCTGCATTCCACAATCACTTGTTAATCAAGATTCACAACCTCAACTGAGTGTGGTGGTGTACACCTTTGGTCCCAACAGAGGCAGACAGATCTCTGTGAGTTCCAGACCAAACAAGCTTACATAATGAGACCCTATCTTCAAAAGGGTGGAGGGGGCACTCATAAGCTCAGAAACTATATCTCCAAAATATATATAAATAATAAATTACATTATTAAAAATATTGTGAACACATAACTAGGAAAAGTTCTTAACAGCTAAAAGTAATTGTTCACACATAACTGAAAATGCTAAGGCTAACAAATTAAATTATTAATCAGTGCTTCCAGTATAACTTCAGTAGCAGTGATCTTACACCATTTTTTTTCTGACCCAAATACTTCTGGAAAGCATTTTCTGAAAGGCTCATTGTGTCAGTAACTCTTGGGTAAAAGGAGGGGAGAAACCCCATGCTGAGTGCCTATGGATCTCTGGGATTCTATTGTTACAATATTCATTTTCTCTACTGAAATCATTTTTATCCTACTGAAATCAATAAAAACAGACTGGAAATAAGACTGCATGACTAATAACTCCTTCATGTATTCTTTGTTGTTAAAATTAAAGCTTTTTTCAGTTATCTGTTGTAAACATTGTGTGTGTGTGTGTGTGTGTGTGTGTGTGTGTGTGTGTGTGTGTGTGTGTGTGTGTGTTAAAAGTTTTGTGTAGCTCTGGATGTCCTGGAATTCATTTGCAGACCAAGCTCGTCTAAACTAAGCAATTCTCCTGCCTCTGCCTCCTGAGTGTTGGGATTAAAAGCATGCATCACCACACCTGACAACACAATTATATTCAATGCCAATATCTTTTAAATCTATCACAATGAATCATGATGCATATGGTAATAAGTTAATAATATTAAGGGACAGAAACTAAGAAATACTGGATGAGGATTGGACATTTCTATTCAGACTTGCTGGCTTAAGCAATACTAATAAGCAGATAGTAATGATTCCCAGTAACAGAAAGATTTCACCAGGCTCTTGAAAGATGAGTAAGACATTGCCAAATAGATAACAGAAAGAAGGGCATGTGAGTAGACAGTACAGGGAGCTCTGAGAAGAAAGACCAAGGGCTTTGAGCCATCTAGAAACAAGAGTAATGACTATAGTAGCAGGTACTTGTTTGTAAAAGGCTTTGGTTGGCTTTGTTGCTGGTGCCACAAATATTTAAGGTTGAATAAAAGTTGAAAAAAGAAATCTCAAAAGCAGCCAGGATCTATTAGACACTATGGAAGTGTTTCACGTGAGTGAGTAAAGAAAAATAATGGGGACTATTGAGTACATTTGATCTATCTGTAATAGGATTTCTACTGCAGTAGTGCCAGGGTACAGTGATGTTGGGAATATGGACATGTCTAACTGGCTGATAATGTTTAAGACTGATTAACCATTAAGATAATGTTTAACTTTGGAGTTTTAAAATAGTTGGGGGAGATGGTTGAAGGAGACATCATTGGTTCTTGGTATATTAAGGATTAATTTTACTTACAAATCAACAGACCAAAAGAACCTCCTTGTTTGGTGAACTAGCTTTTATTTATTTATTTATTTATTTATTTATTTATTTATTTTTGCTTCCTTTTTAAAAGGAAAACGAAAAGACATAAGTAAGCAGATGTTTACTTAACAGGAATATCCCTGTGTAGGCCTGTTGAAATGGCTCAGAAGGTTAAGGGTCATGCTGACAAGCCTAAGGGTTTGGGTTCATTCAATACTCGAGCCCCACATTGTAAAAGGAGAGAACCAATTGCCACAAATCTGCACACATAAGCCTGAGTGTGAACTCACACACATGCTCACACACTAAGTAAATGTCAAAAAATTCCTTTCGGTATTTTTCTTGGAGGCCATCTTTCTCTTTCCTATAAAACTCTATGGCCATGACTAGGCCTAGTGATACAAGCCTTAATCCCAGCACTTTGGAGGCAGAAGTGAGTGGATCTCTGAATTTGAGACCAATCTGGTCTCCAGAGTAAAATTTCGGGCCAGTCATGGCTACAAAATGAGACTTGTTTTAAAACAAAACAAAAAAAAATTAAAAACTCTCTATAGAATATTATATATATATGTACAATAATATTCAATAAATAGTTTAAGTCATGTCTTTTAGAAATAAAGACAGAAAGCAATAAACAGTAATAAAAGTTGGAAAAGCCAAACAATGGTGTCTGTCCCCAAGCCCACGGTGCCTGCACCTGTTCCTTTCATCCTTAGATGATAATCTGCTGTTTATTTTGCTACCATGAATCTACCTCCTCTCATACAACGGAGATTTCATCTTGTCTGAGGCTGAAAGTGAGCCCGAACGCCAAGGCCACGGGCATGATGGCTAAGAAGCCCCCAAAACCAGCGCCCCGCAGGATCTTCCAGGAGAGGCTGAAGATCACTGCTCTACCGCTGTACTTTGAAGGGTTTTTGTTAGTCAAACGGTCTAATCACCAGGTAAGTCTGTAGATGAGAATTCTAAGCCTGAATGTTTTCACTTAATATAAAACTTGTTTCATGACAATGCCTCCTATCTCTGTCTGGATTATACCCTCTTCCCTAAGTGAAGAGAACTATTCTAATTTTGAATAGCTTAAATACAATGTACAGTTTAAACTTATAATATATTTAAATATATATAAACTGTGCATATATATGCATACATAAGCATGTATAATAAGGTCTTTAATATTTAGCTATAATTGAAAAACTCAATGAAATTTCCATTGAGCATCACATACGATTTTGGCTTGCAAGATAATTTTGTTTTATGTTTTTTCAACAATCAAATATTATGCTTCAGTGGTGATGAAGTACATGAAGATAAGGTGATTTTATGATGAAATTAACCTTCTCCTACTCTCACTCATACTGAAGTGTATAATGACCAAACTGTAATAAATGGTAAACTAATGACCAAACTGTAATAAATGGTAAACTTTGATAAAGTTGTGAAAATTTGATGTTTACTTACTATTGTTTCATTCTGAAAATACTGTTCACGATACTGGCTTTAAAAGAGAGCATTTAGGGTATTATTGCAAATAGTGAATACACTAATTTTGTTTTTCAAAAAGTACTTTTTCTCTATGAAAACTCACAAAGTATTCCACATATTTTTAAATGTAAAATTTCAAATTATAGTTATCAAAAGTACTACTTTTAAAGTTATAATTGTGGACAACATAAAATTAATTAGAGAAATAAACATGAAATCATGTTACTAAAAAAAAAGAAGCCATTGATGCAAGTAAAATGTTATGAAATGTTAATATAGGCTGAAGCTAGCAAAGACTTAAGTGTTTACAGAAATAACAATAAATGTTCAATGATGATAAGTCAAGGTTTCAGATGATTCATTGACATTCGTGGAAAAATTATGAATATGAAAATATTGTAACAGTACATTTATATTTTCTATGTACATGATAAAGATATTTGCCATTTGAAAGCCAAGTTGTAATTCTTGTTGTAGGTGTTAAACATTTCTTAGTACATTTTCAAGCTATTTTGGAATTTTTGTTGTTGTTATTGATCACTCACAGTTCAACTACATGGTTTTACTTCATCAACAATGGGTAACAAGAAAGTAAATTTCTAGTTGGTAATTTAAATTTGGTCACTGACTCTCTTTCCAGAGTGTCTCTGATAACTGTGCCTGATACCAATATCTTAAGGTGTTTAAAGAAGGCTTATATGGGCATGGTTAGCAGATAAAATTCCACAATTTTAGAGTAGCTGTAAACCGTGTCTTCACTTGATGGTTTTCCACATACACCTTGTGATCTTGTGAAAATTACTCCATCATCTCCCCTGAACTCAATTTATTCAACTGCAAAGAGAAAAAAATTCTACTTGGCTAGCATAATATATTATTATTTGTATTGTATTCTTTATTATTTGTGGGATAAGAAAGTACAGACCTGAATCAATTTACTTTTAAGCAGCATTTATTGTATATCTTGTACTCGACAAACAGGACACGAGGCTTAGCTTCGTATCAGTTACAATTTCTTATCTATCTAACTCCTACTCTGGTTTTTCTTAGAAACCATGCTTTAAAATAGAATGAACCATAATCTAGTATTTCTCATAAGGGCTGCGGAATCTAGCAAAATGGTAGAGCACTTGTCTAATGCACATCGGGCCCTGGATTCAATGGGAGCGTGCAAATGTAAATAATTGTGGTACGTGTATATGAGAAAACCAATTTGTTTACCCATTTGAGTTTATTACCAAGTCCCTTTCTCTTGTGTATTAAACAGGGGAGGAACTAGAGAATAGCAACAATGTCAAGGCATGTGATGGTTTTCAAGATGGAAATGATAGCCATATAAAACACCAGCTTCACACTTAAGATGAGATTCATTTTCTTCTTATTTACTTATTTGTTTGCTAGAATTCTAAAGTCAGTTTGAGGTCTGTAAATAAAATTGCTCAAAGGAACTCCATAGCTGCTCACAGACTTAAACATAGAAACTATGAGAGAAATACTCGTGGAAAAAGGTGGGATTTCTCCACAACTGGTAGCAAATGCTAGGTAGCATTTAGAAGCAAGGTGAGCTGAGAACATTGCTGCCAGGTCAGCCGTGGAGTTCCTTGACACAAATGACATGGAGAGGCTATGCAGAGGTCCCTGCTGAAAACAAATTCAGAAGATAAAAATGGAGAAAACGTAGTTTAAGAACATGTTCAATAAAGAAACTACAAGGCAAGATGCTCTCATTGCAAGGGTTATTATTTTTATTTCTCATACATTATATCCCGACTACAGTTTCCCCTCCCGCCCCTCCCCTCCCCTCCTCTGCCTCTCCTTCCCATCTCCCCTTTCCCCCAGATCCACACCCCCTCTGTTTCTCCTCAGTAAAGAGCAGGCCTCCCAGTGACATCAAACAAACACAGCATAACAAGTCACAATAACACCTGGCACATACCATCATATCGAGGCTGGATGAGGCAACCCAGTTCAAGGAAAAGGATCGCACAAACAATTGTTGCAATCACTTTAAAAGAAAATGCACCAACATATGCTGACATTAATACAATTCTAGAAGGACCCTGCATTTCAGGTCAAGAATCTATGAAAAGTATTTTTCAAGGGAAAGATATGGGAAGATTTACTTGAACTACATTAGGATTTTATATTGACTTAGAAGAAGTATTCAATAATTAAAATACAATCAAATACAAAATGCATCACAGATTTATAAATCAGAAAAGAGGTCAACTTTCCTGGAACTTCAAATACAAGAAATTTCAGACAACAGCCCATTGTTCTTTTAATCTGTGATGTACACAGCTTTAAAGAAGGTAATATATCCTCTCAGCCTGAACATAATCGTGTAATCATCACAATGTATGTAAGGGTCACTTCTCTGATGGCCCTTACATTTATGAAGTGTTTACTATTACCTCAGTTGTGTCCTGAAACACAATTCTCTATACGATAAAACTCCAAAATTTTAAAATAGCATGCCTTTTCCAGGAAAACATTTGAAACATAGATATCCACTATGAGAACTATGAGAATATGAACATCTGTACCCCTTTATTAATATTCTATGTAAATTATTGAACATATACAAAAGAAACTAAGAAGAAATAGATTAATAATATAAGTAGGTATTCTCTGAGTTTCCCAATGGATCTTGTACATTTTAGATATGTGCATGTCACTAATGGTTATGATCCCTAAACGATGCACCTGCATTTCAACTGCTTCTATAGCATTCTCCATTATCGCTGTCCTAGATCCAAAATACAGAATAGCTTTGACCTCCTGCTTTCATTACAGAGACTTACTGACAGAACAGAGGATGAAAGCCCACCCCCATCACTACCACCAGTATGGTAAATCAAACAGTCCAGCTTCTCAGATGAAATTGTTTTGGTTAATGCATTGCAGGTCAAGACCATGTTCATTCAGGCTTTTTCAATAGTGGCAAAGACTACTCAGTACCTTCAGGGTTAGAGAATCCCCAACTGATGGAGGGGCTAGTACATACTAGCAACTTCTGAAGTGAAATTTCTCACTGAAAGCTTTAAAACATCTCCCAATGTAAGAAAATAACTTAAGGACCTGAGAGATGACTCAGTGGCAAAGGGCACTTGTCATCAACACTGCTTACCCAAGTTTGAGCCCAGAACCCTACATGGTAGGAAAGAATGGACTTCCATCCAGCAAGCTATCCTCTGACCCCAACATGAGCACTATGGTATTTACGCGCATAACAAACACACACACACACACACACACACACACACACGCATGAAAGGAAGGAAGGAAGGAAGGAAGGAAGGAAGGAAGGAAGGAAGGAAGGAAGGCTTTAAAATAATTAAAAGGAAATCTTTAGGAGTGCTTTTGTGCAGGAATGACAATTTGTTTCTTTATTCTATTCTTTAAGATAACCTGTCCTCTTCCACAGTCTCATTGAAATATACCTATTTTTAGTCATCGTTAAAACATATCACCATTCTTTCAGATAACAATATACATCACTACTTAAAAAAGCATCACTGGAGAGATGACTCAGTGGTTAAGAGTGCCACCGCTGCTTTTCCAAAGGATGCAGATTCAGCTTCCAGCACTCACATGGTGGCTCATTACCATCTGTAACTCCAGTTCTGGGGGATCTGATGCCCTGTTCTGGCATTGAAGTGCCACACACACACACATGCAGGCAAAACACCCAAATGCATACTATTTATTTATCTTGTTTTTTGTTTGTTTGTTTGTTTTTGAGACAGGGTCACTCTATGTAGCCCTGGTTTGTTCTGGAACTTAATCAGTAGACGTGAAGCTCGGAGATCCACCTGCTCTGCCTCCAGAGTGTTGCAATTAAAGGATGTACCACCACCACCCTGCTACATATATACCATTTTTAAAGAGCGTTACATAGGTAATGAAAATGCAAAGTACCTGTCAATACCGTGACTATCAAAGCAATGTGCTGTTTTGTTGTCGATCAAGTGATGAACACTTAGTAACATTTGCTATGTTCCAGCTCCTATATCCTTATATGCATTATCATCACACCAAATCTTCAACAACTCTGTGAAGTAACAGCAACCATCTACTTCTATGATCTATCTCCTATCAGTGAACTGTCACACAGCATACATAATGACAACTGTTAGTTGGTGGTTTTAAAAATATTCACAACCACCGGTTTGTGAATTAATTAAAGGAGCACACCTTTAATTCCAGCACTCAGGAAGCAGATGCAGGTGGATCTCTGTGAGTTCAAAGCCAGCCTGGTCTACAGAGTGAGTTCCAGGCCAGCCCTGCAGGTTTGGGTCATCACTATATGAAAAAGTTCCACAAGCAGCCATCCGGCTCTCTTCCCCCAACTTTAAATGTTTATGATCTTCCATTGTGATTTTTCTTCTCACAAGTTTTAAACCAAACAGGTCCAGGAATTATATAACTAAGGGTATTACTTACTTTTATTACTGATTAAAGTTGACCAATGTGTGGGTTTGGTAATATGCCTAAGCAGCTAACACTGCATCTTAAGGTGAGCCACCTTGTCTCACTGACTCAGCTTGAAAGGCGCAAGCCTACACTTCTCAAAGGTCCTTTGCTATCTGGTAGGAAATGGAGAACACCCACTCTATCCAAGCAGCCAAGCTGAGTGAGCCAAGCATCCTGCCTTCCAACCTCACCTGTCTGATACTCAGTACTGCTCAAATCAGAGACCAGTTACTCTGGCAGCATTCATTAGTGCAGACTAAATGGGAGAGTGTATAAAAATAGCAGAGTCCAAAAAGGGGGCTATTGTAATGACAAGAAACGTGGTGTCCTCTATGAACAGAAGAAATACATTTCTGATGGGGTCAAAATTAAAGTCTGTTTTCTTACTAATCTACTGGACTCTAAGATTTATCAAACATCACACACATGGGGCATTTAGATTTCAGGAACCTCTTTCCTCTGTTTTGTAATCACCTTTTAGGAAGGATCGTTTGGCTGACACCTTAGTTGCCTCCATAGGCCTATTATATGTTTCAGTCAGCTCTCAATTGTGGGTTCACTGCAGTGGAAAGACCACCTACTATGGGCAAGGATGCCTTTACCCAAGCTTCAACTCTGTGTTGGTGGTAGATTGCTGCAGAAATGCTATCATTTTACTTAAACTTACCATATGTACACACCACTGAAGTATAACTTGTATCTTTTCCCCCACAAATAAGGTGAATCTATTTTTCTACCTTTTGAATTTTGACCATATCATGGAACATGCTCAGGTAAATACAACAAAAGCAGAAATTTATGTTAATAATATGCTTGTTGAGGATGGAGAAATGGTTCAGTGTTTAAGAACATTTACTACTCTTGCAGAGGACCTGGGATGGGTTCCTAGCAGCATCCACCTTTCACTCCAGATCCAGGAGATCAAACCCTCTTGTCTCTGTGGACTCCTGAACATAAAAAGGAACACACACACACACACACACACACACACACACACACACACATAGAGAGAGAGAGTTTAAAAATGAACAAATATGCTTGCATATTGGGCTCTACTCACTCTTAGAGAAAATGCTTTAATTTTTATTTTTAAGATTTAATTTTAATTATGGGCATGCATGTTGTCTATGTGTGGGTATGTTCAACATGGATATTGGTGACTGAGTCAACTGAACAGATGAAGGGCCCGAGCTAACAGGGTTAGCTCGTTAAACAACAATAAAAGACTCTCTGCTTTTGCATCAAAATGGGTCACTTGGTGATTTGGGGGTTTCAGAATTTGGCCACAACAAAAGTTCATCCACACTTGAATGCTTTGTTTTGCAGTTGATTACTTTTTAAAATTAGATATATTTAATTTATTTTATATGTACGAGCATTTTAGCACCCACATGTATTTTATTAGCACTGCTTGTATGTCTGGCATCCCAGAAGGCCAGAAGAGGACACTGGACTCCCTGGAATTGGTCTTACAGTTGTGAACCATCATATGGGTGCTGGGAATTAAACCAAGTCATGTGGAAAAGCAGCTAGTGCTCTTAACCACTGAGCCATTTCTGCAGCCCTGTGGTTAATTCTGGATTAAAACTTTTTCAAATTTATCTTAGTACAATGTTTGACTTGTGCTTAACTAGATGGTTTCTGAAATTCTTCTCTGTAGCACAAATAATAAAATACCAGAGACAGATATTGGGGTTCAAGTTGAAGATCAGCAAAGCAAAGCAGCCAGCCAGGAGTTCTTAGCTCTACCAAGGATGAAACAGAGATCAGATCTTCCCTGTGACTGGAAACTGAATCTCAAATGAGACCCTTTGCTTCTTCCTTATATACCTCTGTATTGATGGGATTAAAGACATGAACTAAGTTATTCTTTTAGACAGATTCACTCTTGTATAGCCCAGGGTGGGCTTGAGCTCACAGAGATTTACATGCCTCCCAACTACACCCTACCCAAACTTCATTCACATAATTTCATAAGCATTACCAGAAATGGACTAGAGAGAAGTATAGTAGTTAAGAATGCTTGCTGGCTGGGTGGTGGCACATGCCTTTAATCCCAGCACTCTGCAGGCAGAGACAAGTAGATTTCCAGGCCAGCCTGGTCTACAAAGAGAGTTCCAGGAAGGCTGTAGCTGCATAAAAAACCTATCTTGAGAAAACAAAAAAGAATGAGAAGAAGAGAGAAGAACAACAACAACAGCAAGAACAACAAGGGGAAGAACCCCAAGAAACCATGAGGCAGGGAATATATTGGGTAGAGCAAGGGGTACACAACAGTCTCAGGATGGTGCCCTTCCAGGCTTGGGCGACCTGTTCTGTGTTGATTGGTCAATTGGTTGTTATGGTCTATAGGCCCTCCCAGGATGGTTGCTATACTCTGCATGTCACTGCTGTGCACTTGTACTATGAAGCACACCCAGAGCCCTAAAGCACAACTCTGTCATCTAACTTCTGATTGGTTCCTCTCTATGAGGAGGGTATCTGACCTCTTAGTGACCAGGGCAGGTCCAGCAAGGTCAAGCAAGCAAGCAAACAAGCAAGTACATGTTGAGTCTTTCCTGAAGCCTGTCATGGCTGCTAAAGCAGGGGGCTGGTCCCTTCACTTTGAATGCCATACAATGATAATATGTATTGTAATTTAAAAGAATTTATGGGCAAAAGAATTAAGTGAATAGTCAGGTATGATGGTACACAACTTTAATCTCAGAACTTGGCGGGCAGAGAGGCAGGCAAATCTCTGTGAGTTCATGGCTAACATGGTCTACATAGCAAGTTCCAGGCCAGCAGAGATTTTTAGTAAGATCATTTATCAAAAAAAAAAAGAAAGAAAGAAAGAAAGAAAGAAAGAAAGAAAAGAAGTTTCTCTCTTTAGCTTTGGAACCTGTTCTGGAACTGGCTCTGTAGACCACTGTGGCCTCACAGAGATCCACCTGCCTCTGCCTCCCAAGTGCTGAGATTAAAGGTGTGTGCCACCACCATCAGAGGAAATTTCCTTAACTTAGAGGGTGCTTTCTTTGGGTATTCCATGTCCTAACTCACAGTATCTGTTTGTCTTTGAAAATACTGATCCTGACACTATGAAAAAAAAAGAACTCAATATACTTGGAAAATATAGCCAGAAAATTCAGTGAAATTCTTCACCTATTTGGAAATGTATTAGCCAAATAATTAAAGTCCCTAACTCCAAAGAATTGGAGTTTACTTTGGTATGTAGGTGATCTTATGTGTAGTCTCAAAAACTTAGATTTTGATAAAAAGAACTATGCAAGTTTCGTTTCTGAAGGTTTCAGGTCAATAAATATATTCACAAAAAGCTTAAATGTCTCACAAAAGGGAAAATATTTAGGACATACACAAACTCCTAAGTGCTGAGTTAGTTTTCCAAGTTAGTAGGTTCTAGAATCTAGTACAGCGATTCTCAACCTTTCTAATTTTGCAACCCTTTTAACACTGTTCTTCATGTTGTGGTGACTGCCAATTATAAAATTATTTCATTGCCCCAAATACCATGATCCAACATAGTAGCATTTTCATAAAGCTTTTATAGTACAAAAGCAAAGCAAGTCATAAATCAAAGTACTTTTTAAAAAATATATTAGTACAGTGGTTCTAAACCTTCCTAATGTCCTAACGCTGTGACCTTTTAATACAGTTCATGTTGTGGTGACCCCCAACCATAAAATTATTTTCGTTGCTAATTCATAACTGTAATTTTGTTACTTTTATGAATCATAATTAATTATCTGTTTTCTGATGGTCTCAGGTGACCCTTATAAAAGGGTCATTCCCTCCCCCCACCCCACCCAAAAGGGTCGAGATCCAGAGGTTGGAAACCTCCGGATTAGTGGAAACAGAAAAGATTCTGTTATGGGTTTCAGATACTGTCTGATAGTGATCAGTTTTGGGTTGTTGGAAGCTAGGAACCTGGTGGTACATTCCAAAAATGATTTTACTTGATAGTTACAAGGATGTTAGGTCAAACACAGATGAGAACAAATGGCTATTACAAGGGCAAAAGATAACCAAGATAATTTGATTCCGGACCAGCAACACTCCAGTTCCTTACAACCAAAAAGTTCCGGACAGTCAGTGTTACAGAGCCCTTAATGCAGACACAGTTTCCTTCTCTTCTAACTGCAATCCACACAAGCTGGCTTTGCTCATCAGAATAACCCGAAGTTATTTTTGCTTCCTGCTTATTTTGCAACAGAGAAATGCCTAGGACAAGAGAGGGGGAGGAGAGAGGGGAGAGGAGAGAGGGGAGAGAGGAGTGAGGGAGTGAGACAGAGGAGAGACATGGAGACACACACACACACACACACACACACACACACACACACACACACACCCATTATTTAATTCCTACAAAAACTCTGTAAATTTGCATTCTGGTTATCATTGTTATGTTTGGTTTGGTTTCTTTAAATATATATAGATATAGATATAGATATATAGATATATATTAGATATATATCTATATATGTATATATATATAGATATATACTTTTATTTAAATTAGAAACAATGTTATTTTACATATCAATCCCAGTTCCCTCTCCTTCCCATGCTCCCATGCCCCCCACTGACTCCCCCATCTCACCCACCATCCACGCCCCAGGGAGGGCGAGGCCTTCCATGGGGATCATCAAAATTGGTCAGATCATTTGGGGTAGGGCCTTGGCCCTCCCCCATGTATCTAGGCTGAGAGAGTATTCCTCTATGGGGAAAATGGTTATGTTTGTTTTTTGATTAAGGCCTTCTGTGTAGGCTTCCCTCTTAACTCATGATCCTCCTGCCTCAGTCTCCTGAGCGCTGAGAATGCAAGCATGCACACCACCAGACACCACTTAATCCCTGTGTATAAATGAACACTCTCAAGTTTAAGGATTAAGCAATTGTATACAATCATACTTACCTGGTAAGGTTGATAGCATCATCATGGAGGTGGTTTTCCAAGGACAAGCCTTTTCCATTGTATTCAAGATTTGCCAACTCCTGAAATTTCCCCAAATGTGCCAAGTGTGAGGAACTGACTGTGTAATTTGTGTTAGTGGAATACTGAGTTGACATTTTCCCCTAAAAAATTTATATACACACACTGGTACACGATTATATAGCTAGTAAAAGGGGGTGTGGCCCGGGTGTGGCTTATGAACTGGTGGCTTTTTTCAGGTCACAACAACAGGCTGTAGAGTAGTCCACCTAACAATGTTGTTAAAAGAGGATGAAAAGACTGGGGAAATCTTCTGGGGAACAGTTCTCAGTAGAAATGCTGGGATAGACCAGCTGAGAACTTCAGGCATGTGAATGGCCAACAGCATGGAACAATTTAAAGCTGCTTTACATATCTAAAAGGCTAAAAAAAGAAGTCACATGAAAAGGTCAGTGAATTTGTTAAGTGTTATGCTGGAGAAAAGAGTTCAGGACCAATGGATGGGGTGGTATCTAGAAAAAAAATGTAGTTCAATACAAGGAACACTTGGCAGGGCTATTTCAGCCATGTGAGTTCACTGTTTTTATAGATGTTCAACTGTGGGCATGAGGACAACATGGAGAGCAGATCCAAACAGCTGGCTTACACAGATGACTTTTAAGGCTCTTTACAACCTACAATTAAAACTAGAAGATATGACTTCCCTTTCTGTAATTGGTGTGTTGGCACTGTTTGTTACAGCAAAACTCACTGAGCCTTACAGTCCACGATACAAGACATGTCTAAGTTCTGGGTTTGTTCCCTTGTGTTTTTCCTCCCATTTTTTTTGTCATTTTTTATTTTTTAATTTCATTTCACATTCCAATCCTAGTTCTCCTTCCCACACCTCCCCCTGCTCCCCCTTACCTCCCCCACCCCTGCCCACTCTCAGTCTACTCCTCCTCACAAGTAAGGGCTCCCATGAGAAGTCAACATAGTCTGTCAGATCTTAGTTCTCCTTCCCACACCTCCCCCTGCTTCCCCCTTACCTCCCCCACCCCAGCCCACTCTCAGTCCACTCCTCCTCACAAGTAAGGGCTCCCATGAGAAGTCAACATAGTCTGTCACAATAGGTTGGGGCAGGGCCAGACCCCTCTCCCATGCTTTAAGGCTGAGCATGGCATCCCACCATAGGGAGTGGGCTCCAACAAGCTAGCTCATGTGCTGGGTTTGAATCATGGTCCTACTGCCAGGGACCCCTCAGCTAGTCTAAGCTTCACAACTGTCTCCCATATATGGTGGGCCTAGTTCTGTTCCCTGGAGTCTCCACAGTCGTAAATCAAGAGTTGATGAGTTTCCACAAGTTTGTTTCAGCTGTCTCTGTAGATTTCTCCATCATGATCTTGACCTCTGTTGCTCCTATCCTTCCATTTTTAACTTTTCTTTGTCCCTTGAAAATAATTATGCCAAACCAAGCTTAGCCTCAACCTCATCAATACAGAAATAGCTCTGGAAAACTATTTATCTGTTTTAAGCCCTACATTATCCAGGAAAGTTAAATGAGACATATAAGATGTAGTACAGTGTATTATACTAGGCACAATCAAGAAAAACTAAGAAGAGAGAAAAAGAAGTGAAGAATGGGCTAATCTGTCAAAAAACAACTACCAAACAACACATAAACCCCTATTACATTAGGTCTTTCTAATGCTGGAGGGCAAAGTTGAACTGTTGTCTATAAAGCAATTGTTCAAAAGAATGTTTTGTTGCACGTGAAAACCAGAAATTTCTTAATAGGTACTTTGTAACCAGAGGTGTTTAATGACTATGATGAAGGGTGACTTTCTAAAATTAAGTTTACATATGAATATATGTATATAAAATACAAACAACTTGTGAAAAGATTTACAGCACTCAATTGGAAAAATATGTAATATTGTTTACTATAACTTCTTTATTAAAACAATAATTCTTTATTGTATAGACAAATTTGATTCTATATGTATGAGTATAATGCTATCCTTGATTTTTGTTAAATGGCTCCTTTGATGAATTAGACATTATTTTTGAGTTCTGAAAAAGTATTTTGCAACAACCCTCCCCATTTACAAAGAAACAACTTTAGATAAAATGAACTAATGAACTTTCATATGGATTATTAATATTTTCTCTATTATTTTCTGTAGTTTAGTCAAAGGGCCAGAAAGTCAGTAGACCTAGAAGCAAATTTGACCTATGGCTTGATTTTATATATCACTGCACAAATCACTTTATCTTCTTTTTTTTACATTTTCAAAATTCTATAAAGGAAAAGCAAAAACAGAAAAATATGTAATGGATAATGTATACAGACCATTCTAATAACGTATTATTAGAAGGCTTACCTCTGGAAAAAGCAACAAACCAATAAAATATACATTCATTTTTAAATGGTTTACTGATTTCCATGTTGTAAACACTCCTGCTACGACTGATTAAACCTGTCAGTGTGACTGTACTGAGCATGGAGGATGAAGACATGTACAGAAGTACTATTAAATGGTATTTGTGCCACACAGAACAAAGATGTAAATAATGCTGAGATCATAGACAGTAAAATATTGCAATATATTAGAAAATAATGAAATTTGAATTTTGACTATATTATAAGTTTTATTTTAAAGTAATATTTCCCTTACTGGCATGTTAATATAATTAAGTTTTAATAATAGCTATGCTGATCAACTGTGAAATTCTCAAAACTTAAGTTTGGCCTTTGCAAATGTATATGGGTTAAGTCCAGCAAACAGCAACAAACACATTTTCACACACTTTCTGGTATTGGGGAGACCAGGTTATCATGCAAAGTGCAACTATGTGTAAAAACCATTGTTTTCCTCCATGCTAGAACTTACCCAGGAAGTAATGTATCTTACCCAGGAAGTAATTTAACACTATTTTCCTTTATCTTTGCAGTATGTTGGCAAGTTAGACATAATAGACCTTGTATGCCTTACTGACCAAAATTCAACTGAAAAGAGTTGTGCAAAATTCACTCTTGTTTTGCCTAAAGAGGAAGTGCAACTGCAGGTGAGTGAGGAGGGGTAGCAATCTGTAGAGACAAAAGCTCATAGATACGCTTTCCCTTTAACATCCAGTGCTTGGAATGAAGAGGAACTCCAAGAGGAGCCTAGTCTTAATACTTCACTAATATTTCCTGCCCTTTGCCAAGGATTACATTGTTCTGAGCTACATTTTAGCAGAGCATATTCACTTGTTTAGTATATAAGCACAATGAAACTTTAGACTTCTAGATTTCTATCCTCTGACAAAGTCAAGGATCCCACCTGGTGTTTTTCAAGGTTGTTCCTGAATTAGCCTAGTGAGCTAAGAAAAATTACCCAACAATTACAGTCTTAACACAGAGAACAACTTGGAATTGGTAAAGATAATTAATACTGGAGAGGAATATTGCTGGTTGACTTTGAGAGCTGCGGTGTCTTGAATGACTCTGCATTTAAGCAAGCTCTCCGGTAGAACTCTTGGACATGGAGGGGAAGAGTAAGGCATAGTAAGGAGTCAGATGCTGAGGTCGACATTCGCCGCTTTATGCAGTAGCTGTGTATCACAGGCCAGTCACTTTGCTCATTAGTTTCTTGAATTATAAGTTAAGTCTTTGCTGAAATGTAAGCCTCTCATTGCAGACCACCTGGAACACTTGATCAAAATCGTAATCTTGTTTACCTAGCCTACTGTTGTGGTCTGAATGAGGATGACCCCATGGGTTTCTCTGTTTGAGTGCCTGGTTCCCAGTTGGTGAACTGTTTGAGCAGATTAGAAAGATTAGGAGATGTGGCCTTGTTGGAGGAAATGTGTCACGGTTTCAAAAGCCCACACTGGGGCCAGGTCCAGTCTCAGTCTCTCTCTCTGTCTCTCTCTGTCTCTCTGTGTCTCTCTTGTCTGTAAATTGGGTTGCAGAGCTCTTAGCTACTCCTCCAGCACCATGCTCATCTGCTTCCTGCCAGGATGATCATGGACTAACCCTCTAAACTTGTAAGCAAGTTCCCAGTTAAATACTTTCTCTTTCATAAGAGTTGCCTTGGTCCCTCAGAAATCTATGGGGCCTCTTGTAGTAGATCAGTACTTATCCCTAGCATAGGAATGGACTTTGTGATCCCATTCCACATAGAGGGATACTCCCTCAGCCTAGACACTCGGGGGAGGGCCTAGGCCCTATCCCAATGGATATGACAGACTTTGAAGACCCCCATGGAATGCCTCACCTTCCCTGGGGAGCAGAAAGGATATGTGATAGGTAGGGTGTTAGTGGGGCCAGGTGAGGATGGGAGGGAGAGGGAACTGGGATTGACATGTAAAACAATCTTGTTTCTAATTTAAAATAAAGAATGGAGAGAAAAAAAGAGTTGCCTTGGTCATGATGTCCTCCGATGTAATAGAACAGTAATTAAGACAACTGCTCTTTTGTCACACTTTCTCTCCATTTTATTTTTCCTATTTGTTTCCTTCCAACAATATCAAATGCACTATTACATTATTTTTTCTTGCTATATTCTCTCTCTCTCTCTCTCTCTCTCTCTCTCTCTCTCTCTCTCTCTCTCTCTCTCTCTCTCTCTCTCTCTTTCTCTGTCTCTCTCTCTCATCTTTTGAGACAGGGTTTCTCGGTGTTAACAGCCTGGCTGTCCTGGAACTCATTATGTAGATCAGGATGGCCTCAAACTCAGAAATCTGCCCTCCTCTGCCTCCCAAGTGCTGTATTTCAAATTCCATGAGAACAAGGATCTTTGTTTTGTTCCCAATACCTACACTTAACAATACACAATATTTAGCTTTCAATTGAACTGATAGATAAAATGACATTAAAAACACCTTTTTGCTGAATTACCTTGAAGATTGTCAAAGGATAAAACCAAGAACTAGGTGTGTTTTATTACATAGAATAAAATATTCCCGTCAGCTGAAAAGAAGAAATTGATTTCATAGGCAGGGAAAGGCAAAACAAATTTAAAAGCAGTAATATAGTTAGTTGCTCATTTCAAACATTTCCATGGTAGGCAGAAATAGGAAGACAAGTGGTAGAAAATAACTGATTGCCATTAAGATTACTTCAGGTTACTTTTTTTGGAAGCAGAGGGAACAAATTGAAGTCAGTCTGTATGGGAAATGTGGCTGTTACGTTTCTTTCCTGATTTCTCCAAAAGGCCAGATACAGTTTAGTTTTGCTTTAGTGATGTGGAACATTACCACAGGTGGTTCCATTTTTATTTCTAGTGTAGACCATGCAGGCCCTCAATGCAAAAGCCTGGAAATAATGGCCACCTATAATGTTTCTTTGACATGATTAAGCAGGTGATACCTCGAATGCTTAGCACAGTAGCTGAATTGTAAGTGCTCAAAAGAAATTGACTGGTATTATCATTATTAGCAGTTAAAGTAATACCCTTTGAAGCTAAGAATCAGATTTTTTTACATTGGTTTTCCCAATGTAAAAAATTTCCCAAGCAAGCCAATGGAGACAGCAGGCATTAAGTGGCATACTGTAGAAGTAAATTCACTAACACTTCTTTTTTTTTTTTTTCAGTTAAGCATAAATTGGTACAATTGTGCTGGTTTAGTAAGCAAATGATTTAAATGTATACATTGCAGCTTTGTTTAAAAAAATTGTGTGTGCGCATATGGTTTTGTGTGTGAATGCATGTACATGTGTGTCATAGTGCATGTGTTGTACAGGGAGTGTGTGGTTAAAGGACAATCTTGGGTCCTCCTTTTCCACCTTATTTGTGACAGAGTCACTTTGTTGTTCGATGCTGACAATGCCAGGTTAGCTGGAAGGAGCTTCTCCTGTCTATAGGCATACTCTGGTTATGTGTCTCACTATGCCCGACTTTATGTGACTTCTGGGGATTTGAATTCAGGTCTTAGCAAGTGTGTAGCAAGTGCTTTACTTGTTGAGCCACCCCGCCCCTAATCATTTATATTTCAGTTTACCTATAAAAAAAAGGAGTGAAGTATTTCGTGATAAATTCATGTTAATAATTCTAAGCAAAAAGGAAAATGAATTATTTCTCCTTGCAGCTGATTTTATGCAGTTAACTTTTCAAATGATCTTATTTAACTAAGTGCCTGAGCAGGAGAATATGCATTTTTTGGCCACTCATGCTAGTTTCTCTTTTTTTGCATGTATATATGTGTGTGATATATGTGCATGTGTGCACAGCTATTTGGATGTGCATGGGTATATATGTATGTGGATGTACATGCATGTGTGTGTTCATGTATGGGGTGGCCAGAAGATGACAGCAAGTATTTTCTCATTCACTTCTATCTTTTTTTTTTTTTTTTTTTTTTGAAGCAACACCTCTCATAAGGACCCATAGCTTCCCAGTTTGGCTAATCTAGCTAGCCAGCTTGCTCCAGAGATCCTCTGTCTTCACTCCCTGGTGCAGGGATTACAGTTGAGCTGTCATGCTTGCTCATTGTCATTTTCCTCGGGTTCCAGAGGTCCAAACTTCTAGTCTTCACACTTCTGTGACAAATGCTTCACCCAAAGAACCATCTCCTTAGCCTGCAATTTTGTGTGCTTTTGATGGGGTACCTATTTTGTCAGATAATCATCATCTGAAATTTTTGTGACTAACTTTAAGTAATTATGTATTTTCTTCTTTACCTTTGTTTTCATCTTTAGACAGAAAACACAGAAAGTGGGGAAGAATGGAGGGGTTTCATTCTTACAGTAACAGAGGTAAGAAAGCCATTCATTTCTTCTGTTGAACAAGGTCTCAATAGCCCATGGTGGCCTCAAACTTAGGATCCACCTTACTCAACCTCCCAAGTGGATGAGATTACCACAGTGAGTCACCATTCCCAGCCGAAGAGCATTACAGCCTGTTGATTCATTTATGTTAAATAGTCACTAGCATCACCACAACTATGGACATTAAAGCGGCTGAGGATATAAAAACTAGAAAATGCAGATAGAAATCCATGTTTTTGTTTCCAAACCTTACATTTTCATCAGGTAGGTTGAGAAGGCTAAAGATACTACTAAGTGAACGCCCAAGCCCAATTCACCTTGAGGTAACTGTTCTGAAGTGAAACTGGTGAGTCGGGGGTGAGGGAGACCTACTTTTGTCATCTTTTAGCTTAGGCCTCATGGCTAAGCCCTACTGTCTTACTTTTTTAACATGAAGGTTCTTTGTATATACTGACATGTGTACTTATTGTAGTTCATTATAAAAGAATCTCCAACATTTCTCTTTTAAATTTATAAAATGATGTACTGCACTGGTTTTGTGAATGAAACAGACACCATGAAATATAGAAACCATCAAAAATGAAAAATTCCCTTTAAACACTTGTTACATTTGTCTTAAAACAGAAGGATGCTTATCTGCTGCTCAAAGGCAGCATATTATCAGAGTCAAATAGTAAGGCCCATTGCTTAGCGTGAACTATGGCATCAAGATAAAGTACCATTAATTTGAATAAAGTCACAGTAGTCTTCCAAACACAAGACACTTTGATAACCGGCACAAATGCTAACTGAAAGCGCCATGTTCTTTAAAACTTTTAGAACACGTGAAAAATTTCCAGGTTAGGAGAAAATGCCTGTTCTACCCCAGTGAGTTTCTGAACAAAGTCTTAGTGGTCATAAAATAAGTTGGACTCTTTGCCAAGACTTTGGGTGCAGGTTCTTCGGATCACCCTTTTACAGGTAAAATGAGTAGAGGTTCAACAGCCAGATAGGGTGTCCCTGTGAGGCCTGAAAGGAGACTTTTAAACACATGAAGGATATACTCATGGGGTTGGAGAGGAAACCATTTGAAGAATTCTGCTTTCTCCCTCTGTTACAGTAAGGTCCCACAGGCTGCCATGGGTGTCTGTAAGTACCCCATGAGTATGTGACTAGGAATAAACACTGAACCCATTGGAAAAATCTAGACATCTCTTCTTGATACACTAATAATACTTGAAGTTTTGGCCGTTTCATTTATATTTTTCCTTGATTAAAGGTAAAAAGCAATGATTTTAATTCAAACATTGATATATCATATAACATATATAATATATGTCATATGAATTTTCAAGTTAAAACACTACTATTTTATGCTCTATAAATATTTGGGGCATAATATCAAATCACTGTATGTGAATAAATCATTTCTAAAGATATTCCAACATATTGACTATTCCTCCAAGACAGCATAATGATGCACTAGACTGGAGTATGAAAACAGTAGAACATATTTGTGTGACTCAAACAAAAACACACTTCTAGAAAAAGTAGTAACAACAAAACCAACTAATAAGTAATATTTTTAGATCTTTAGTAGAAGTGTTCATGTCGAAGAGACTACAGTAGACAGAGCAGCAACCTCATCTCTGAATCACACTAGCCTGATTTTGAGTCTTAATTTCACAGATGACTAGCAATGGTTCTCTGGACTTTAATCTTTCTGAGCATATTTTCTGTTTTGTTGTTGCTGTTTTTGTTGTTATAAAGTGCAAATAACAATACCTGCCTTGTAGGATTATTGTATCTTGGTAACATTTGTGTAGTGATTGGGATACAATTGATGTATAAGAATTAGCTAAAAAAGAAATATCAAAATAAGGAGTAATTGTTCCATTTATTTTGCTTTGGCTATTCGATACAGTAATGGGATTTATGTAAATCTTTTTGTTTGTATATCCCTCTCAGTAAATTATCTAAATTTCATGTTCAGATACACACAAATGCAAAGAACAATATGAATTAATGAATATTGACTAAGCACGAGACTAGGGCAAAACTTTACTGGGTCAACTCTTTGCTGTGCCACCATTAGACTCTAAGCTGGGATCCCCAGTACTCACATAGAAGTCAGCATGTGTAACTCCAGTGCTGGGCAGGAAAACATAGGTGGATCCCTGGGGTTTGCTGACCATCTGATCTAGTCACACTAGAAAAATAATACTAATAATAACAATGTGGAGTACAATAGAAGACGACATCCGGTGTTGACCCGGGGCCTCCTCATATGCATTCATGAGCAAGCCCACTCCCCATACATGCATAGGTATGCATACACACAGGGAAGGAGGGAGGGACTCATGGATTCTCTTGTTTATCTCCTGGTGAGTATTCACTTTCCTCTGGTGGTCATATTGTAACCAGACATGGCATAGGTTGTTCCCAACTTCATTTGAGACGTGACTACAATTCATTTATTATTCTATCCATTCATCTCTGACAAGTAACTCTTCACAGCCAACAAGTTCATCTTTACTAAAGCCAGGATGCTACTTGGCTGTGGTTTTAGTTTGCCTACTGTTCTAACTGGTTTCAGCTGTCAGTTCCTCAACACGTGTCACTTCTACCTGGGCAAGTGATTAGACTACATGAAGTCTTAGAGAGAGAAAAGAAAAGAAGGCTTGAGACAGAACAGCTGCCCATTATGCCTGCAGAGAAAGAGGAGCCAGTACAACACGATGTGGATGTACCAAACCCTATGCCAGCGTAAGTGCACCATTGACTCATTCAGTTAAGACTAATTTCTAATTATCAGGTAGCACTGCCTACTTGGACTTGTTACACCAGGGTTACTAAATATCTCGGGGGTTAATTGTATGTCTCTGAACCCCTGCCACATTTCCTCTCCTACGACAAGATCAGCATCATGCACACTTGAACTAACTCTTACCACAGAGGAAATCCCCTTCTACCCACACATCTAGACTAAATTTATATGTCTTTCCGGAGCTCAAACCCAAATTAAAGCTGTTATGAAGAAGGAAGGAAAAGGTGTGTGTGTGTGTCCTCATAGTTGGATTATTTATCATCATTCATACCAAATCTTTTTAAAGTCTTAGAATATTGTATTCAGTTGATTGATGAGTGAACATTGAGCTTGCCCTCTGAGGAAAGCCTTGTGTAAAGTGTTCAAAATAGTAATGGTACAGCATCTGGATGCTGAAGCATCCCACACGTGTCTTCTTTATTGCCGAAAATATTATGGGCCTTTTCCTCTGGAGATTGTGGTGCTCTTGTCATTAAAGTGTGTCCTGGCTCCATCTCTGACATCAGGCTCTGATACACAATCTCCTGTACTAAAGCCACTGGAACCTGCTTATCAATGTTGCTATCCCAAACTAGACAAGAGACCAACTCAGAATAAAAATCACATGGACTGCTTCTTTTTCTTTTCCCCCAGTACAAGAAGTAATGAGTTTATTACAGATAAATAAAGAGAAGAATGAAACTAATTCACGTCACAACACCTGAAGATATTTGCCACTAAAACTTTGGATGTATCATATACTCCATCAAATTTGTACATGGTTATTATATTTCACTAAATATCATATGTATTATAAAAACAGGAAGTGCTTAATTTCTTAATTTTGTGTCTAAACTATTACTAGTGCCATTTTAACACAAATTATAAACCAAGAGTGGTGGGCATGCCTTTAATCCCAGCACTTAAGAGGCAGGTGCAGGCAGTTTTCCGAGTTCAAGGCCAGGCTGGTCTACAGATTGAGTTCCAAGACAACTGGGGCTATCTGGCTACACAGAGAAACTCTGTTTTAAAATACCAAACAAACAAAACCCTATAAACAACAGATTATACCAAATGGTATAGTCTTAATGTCAGTGTTTAAAACAGAGTCCCTCTAGGCTGTGGTGGCACACATCTTTAATCCCAGCACTGGAGAAAAAAAGGCTCGGTGAATCTCTGAGTTTAAGGCTAGCATAGTCTATATATGGTGAATTTCAGGACATCCAGGGCTACATAGGGAGGCCTATCTCAAAACAAATAAACAGATTAACAACAAAAACAGATTCCCAAAGAGAATGTTGGATATTTTGGAGTCCTGAAAGGAAAGCACCAACAAATTAATCTAAGACCTGGTGTGTATCGAGACTGGGGATATGTTATTAGTTGTCAAAGATTCTCTGTGGTGTTGGTGATTATACATGGATTAGTAGATTGCTTTTCAAGTTATCTTTGTTTAAAAGATAACTCTGTATCTCAAGTTGTTTAGGTAGCATTATTTTCAAGTAATAATCTTCATCAGTTTAACTAAAAAAATAATAATAACTTTTTCTTTCATCTCACATTTGTAGATGTTTTTATGCAGTTTCCCGGAAAGAAGCAACTGCAATGCTGGAGAAGAATCCTTCTTGGGGAAATATGATCCTGAGGCCAGGAAGTGACAGTAAAAACTACTCCATCACTATCCGTCAGGAAATAGAGTATGTTCAATTCATCTGGCTAGCATACTGCTAAGAGCACAGTATTCCAGTCAGTACCTGTTATGCATTGTTAGGGCTGCAAATATAAACACAAGCATGAGAAAGTAGTATGACGTAAGCAAACCCCTTCCATAGCAGTAATAAAGAGAACAGATCTGGGATTGCTATTGTTTTAAGATACAGTGTTCACAAAGGCACTCAGTTAACTGACATTTAAGCAGAGACTGAAAGGAAGTGAGGGACCAAACCATGCCAGTGTGAGAACCTGAATTCAATCTCCAGAACTCACATAAAAGAGAGAGGAGAGGCAGGATGGAAGAGGGAGGGAGAGAGAGGATGGGAGGAGGGTGGGAGGAAGGAAGGAAGGAACGAAGGAAGGGAGGGAGGGAGGAAGGAAGGAAGGAAGGAAGGAAGGAAGGAAGGAAGGAAGGAAGGAAGATGACACGTGCTTATAATCTCAGCAGTGGGGAGGAAAAGACAGGCAGATCCTTGGGGCTTGCTGGCCAGCCAGCCAAACCTTCTTGGCAAGTTGCAGGCCAGTTAGAAACCTTCTCTGAAAAAGAATGTTGAGGGTCCATCCTAGGTTGATCTCTGGAATCCACAAGTAAGCGCACACATGTTCATGTGCAGCCACACACAAATATACATGCAAAATAATTTTATACATAATCAGAGTAGGTGGACCTTCTAAGGCCACTCTAACTTTCAGAGTCTATAAAAATCTCTGTATTTTAATAGACATTCTAGCTTAGGTAACACTCACAACTGACAATATAATTTCAAGTATAGAAGCCTTTGCCTACATTTAAATATTAGATAAGTGACTATGTCTCATAAAAAGCATAAATAGAACATTGATTTTTTTGAGTTTATGATTCTTTGTTAGTATCACAATATATTTACTATTATGCATCTACAAATAAATCTACCACTTTTTTCATAAATCTCTGTCATTCTAAATAGATGGAATATGAAGACAATAGTGGATAAACAGTAAAAAGTGAATGTATCTTAGAGAAAAAATTAAAATCATGGCAGTATGGCTCAATTAGTATTATGAGCCATGGCCCTGGAAGCTTCATTTACTTGCCAGTTAATATAGATAGACTCTTGTCTTCATACAGTAGCCATGAATAGGTGGCAAGAATGTTAGGTGACAAACTAGATCCTGGTGCTCCCAAATCTGTGCGAGTATCTGTGTGTAATTTTGGATTTCTCCACGGTGAGTAATTGTCAACCTTCTTGTGGATTCCTTATGTTTCCTACTTATTATATATATTTATTTCCATTTTTTAGCTTATACCATATGCTATAATGGCATATGCTTTTACAAGCTAAACATTAGCAACAAATTTTCAACTCCATTAGACTATAATAAAATAGTATAGATTTTTTAATTTACAATTTATTTTGGCTACTAATTTAATCAGAGATCTCAAAACATATCCAAAAGAAGTATAGGTTATAGCTGCCAATGAGTATGTTTTGCTTTGTTTTGTTTTTTGCCAATACAGGTCTTTTTCTCTTGAGACTATAATGTAATCACAACATTCTTCCTTCCCTTTTATCCTTCCAAACCCTCCCATATACTATTCTACATTCTCCTTCAAATTCAAGGCCTCTTTTTCCACCAATTGTTATTGCATGCATATATATATGTATATACTGCTAAATATAATCTGTCCAATCTGTATAATGTTACTTGCAAGCATGTTTTCAAGGCTGATCATTTGACACTGGACAACCAAATGATGTGCTCTTCCCTGGGGAGGACCACTTCTCCCATTCGCAGATTTCCTCAGATGACTACAATTCTCTGTGGTTGAGGCCTACTGGGTTCACCGCCTACCCCATACACTTGGAACATCCATCAGTGTTGTCCTTTTTCAGCTCGGGTTTGGGCAGTCCTGAACCCTTGAAAAACAGAAAATTCAACCCTGCTCTTGGGGTTTAATATCTTCTACTTCATATGTCACTTGATCTTTAGAGACAGCAATCTGAGAGAGGATCAGAATTGTGCCTTGCTAGTAGAGCTTAACGTACAGCTTTTGGCAGGAATCTAGACTATTAAGAAACACCTGTGTTTCCCACAAAACAAGCTCATTTTCTTTCAGAGAGGTCCCAGGACTGATGCTCAGCCATGCAAGTTGATGAGTGAGTCTGGTAAACACAATGGGAAGGACAAACTGGTTTACAAAGCAGAACTTGAAAGTAATTTTCCCCCAGGTGTTGACAGATCAGTGGTAGGAAGGAAGGCTACTCTCAAGTGTAAACAGAGCTTGCCAGTGCAACATCATCAGGTGATTCCTCTCAGAGCAGGGCATCATCTATCTTTAATCAGCTCAGTGGCACGAAACGCGTAAGACATAAAGCTATTTTTACAACAAACCTCACACTTTGTTTTTCCTTGAAGTTGTTTTGACTAGGTGCCATGCTAGCATTATAGTCATGTAAGCCATTATTGGCTAAGGAGGAAGTAGAAAGTCTTTACCCCAAATTCATCCTTTTGCAAAACTTGAGATCAGGACCTAAGAAAACATATTCAGAACTACACTTAAAGCCAGGCTTTTCCTTTTCTTTAAGGACTAGCTTTTCTTTTTGTGTAGTAGCTTAGGTTGACTTGTAATTCTCCTGGCTCAGCGTCTTAAGTGCTGGGATGACAGGTGTGTGCTGCCACATCTCATTTTACTTGCTCTATTTTTTTATATCATAACCACAATGCTTTAAGTAGCAAATTTTACCCATTTTTTTCCTTTGCAAAACAAAAATTGGAAGAAAAGTATAGTTTAAAAAGACAGAGCCTACAAGATTTCAGGGCCACTGTTTTCTGCATAACCTTTGACTTTAAAATATAGTCCCATTACTCAAAAGTTCCAATAGCTCCTACTGACCTGTCTGTTTTCATCTCACCACTCCCCTCTGAGTTTATCATATGATGTGATGGCTATCACCAATCGCTGTACCCTTTGTGTACCTTGTGTTGAGTGCTACAGACATATCCTACAGGCACAAAATAATAATTGAGACAAATAGTATTGCCCATGCTTTACAAACTAGACTGGCAGAAAGCAAGAAATATTATCTATATAGTAAATGGAGATAAAATAAGTATAATTTAGTGAGTGCTTAAATATGTAAAGGGCTATACTAAGGGCCTTGCCAGTATTAGCTCACAACAGCCCTCAGAGGTAAAGCTTTATCATCTCCATTATGTAATGAAGGCTAAAAGCACACATATGCTCCCTATCTCTCTCTCAACACACACACACACACACACACACACACACACACACACACACACACACACACACACACACACACACACTGGGGGGGGGGTTTAGACTCTCAACACACACACACACACACACACACACACACACACACACACACACACGGTGGGGAGGATGTTTAGAGAGCACATATGACAGAAACAGAATTTAAGCCAACTGTCCCATCAAGCTCCTAAAGGGTAGCAGTCATTGAGTCAACTGTATAATCAAAAGGAGGTCAACCATGTATTTCATTTTAGAATGCCAAGAATCAAGCACTACAAAGTGATGAACACTGGGAAGAACTACACCATTGAACTGGAGAAACCTGTACGTAGGCAGTTCTTTGTTGTTGATAAACTTCCTCCTGTTGCCTTCCAAACCTTCCTTTATAGACTCCAGGGAAAAGTGGGGAAACAGAAGTCTTCCTCAGCAACAGATACAGTGATGTCAAAGGGCGATGAGCACCTCTAGGTAAGATGGGAAAGGTGAGAGACTTGCAAGAACAGGCAGGTGAGACTGACTAGAGGATAGCTTGCTTCTAAAAGCAGTCTCCCTTACTTTCTCTGCACATGATTCCTCAGTGTAATTGTTTCAGAGAAAGAAAAATGTTTTTATGCAGTGTCTGTATAATATTTACCCTCTGTTTACAAATATTCAAATGACTCTATATCTGAAGGGAAGCAATCTGAGTGCCTTGTCCTCTAATACCTACAACGAAGAAGTCCAACAATGCCCTCTTAACAGCAATGCACCAGAAGGTGCTGTTTCTTATTTGTCATCAACCCCTCTTCAAAATTAGTTATTATATCATGGAGCCAATGATAGGCAGATTTATCCTTCAGCACAATATCTGGCACATAGCCAAGTATGTAATTTAATCTTTTCTATTTCCATGAGGTAGATATTGTTATGCCTATTATACAGGGGAGTAAGCTGACATTTAGACTAGTCTCAGCCACTGAAAATGTGGATGTGGCCTGTGTTTCTTTAAAATTAACTCCAGTTCCTCTGCCTCTCCAGGCCCATTGTATATCAATGTATAATTTAGAATTTCTCATGTTTTAACTGTAAGTCTCAGAGAGACACTGATTCACACAGCTCACTTGAGTGAAGAATGTCTCCAGAACTTTTCAGATTCACTTCTATGGACCCAGCCAGGTATCTCAGTCCATTGTAAACACAAGATCTTTTCCCCTCTCTGTCCCAAGTGCTGGGACAATAGCTATGCACCAACCAGGCCTGGCTCCAACTGAGCTTTGTACGGTTAGTTCTAACTAAGCAGGCAAAGGTCTAGATTGCTGAAGGAGCATCCATAAAACTAAGTGGCCAGAAGTGGTTCCAGTGAGGAACAATCTACTCCTGCACCTTTATAAGTGGAGACCTGGACTCCTTTTGGTTAGCCTCTACAGTCCACAGTAGAAGGAAAATGGACAGGCTGGATAGTTCTTTCACCTTTCAAACTCCTCAGTTATCCTGCCCTTCATAATTTTAATGAGTTATTTTACACCAAGATTATTTGAGATATTAAGGTATAGTAGGATTTAACTTGTAAAAAATTATTGATTTATGGCATAGAGAGATTTTAATGACCCACAGACCCTAAATTATTCTGTTATACTGAATTAAAATGCTTAAATTCTCTGGTTTCAAGCAGAGGAAATCTATTATGCCCAATTTAGGAAAATATGTTATCAGCCCATAGAAGGTTCTTATTGTAAACATTTTGAAGGCTAGCATTTCTTAGGGACTGGGAAACATTTGGTTATGAGCTGCCACTTTTTCTTGTTTGCCCAATTTCAGCAAGAGAAAAATTGGTCTAAATTTAGTCATTTTTCTGTTTTAATTGAGGGAAGACAAAGTACCTAAATATCATTCACCAGACTGTACCCATGCTAAGGGAGCATTTCCTCACCAAAGAATGGCCACACAGTCCTTAAAAAGGAGAAAAAGCAGACATGGCTAAGAAAGTCATGGGCGTTCAGTAAGTCATTGAAGTGTGATGCCTACCTGACCTGACTGGAGGTCAGGAAATACACAACAATCCCCACTCTATTGCAGGGGGGCATCTCCTGTTTATTTTCAGCCACACACTGAGCCATCTCTCACTTTCTTTTACACAGGTAACACTCCCAAACCTTTTCAGCGTCATTGATTATTTTGTGAAGGAGACTCGAGGGAATCTGAGACCATTTATACATTCAACTGATGACAATCTTGGTATGTCCTTCACTTTACTATTACATCAAACAAAACCAAAGTCCAAACATGATAAGGTACAAACTAAATTTTTAAAATTTAAAGCTCCCCATTAGTTGATCATCTTTTTCATTGTCTGGGGAGAAAAAGCATCTTCCTCCAGATAGTGCATGCATTGTGATTATTAACGTTATTCCACGATTCTGTTAGAATTTATCAAACAAGTTCAGGGACAACAGAAGAGCAAAATAGTATAGACTCATGGGTAGCAAATAGGAAATGTAGAGAGACGGGACCACAACAATGTCAGATGCTTGAAACTGGGTAGAATGCATGAGAGTAAACCAAGGCTGTGGGGGATTGGCCACTTGGTAGTAAATGACCTTGATATAGTGCTATTCTGCTACGAGGATAAAGGAGTCAGGTGGCAAGGTTATAGGAGTGAAGAGGTGATGAGGAGCTAGTGACAAAAATTACATTTGGGGTCAGCTTCAAAATTGGTGGGCTCTTTTTTTTTATATAAAGGAAGAACTTTAAAACAGTAGTAGTTCATTAAACTGAGCAATGAGACCTGTGTCAACAGTATAGTTCATACTTTCATTAAATTAGCTCCATCTGCATTCTAGTTTTCGCCTTAATGAAGCAGGCTATCCAATGCCAGTTCTATCTAACAGTCTACATATGGTCACTGGGCAAGCTCTAAGCATCTCCATCTAGTTTGGGTTTCATTATTCAAAGACAGTTTCTTTTTCTACATGTTATAAAAGAAAACAACTTGGTCTACCTGTACCAGGGGCATATCTGAAAAGTTTCACTAATTAAAACAACAGCAGGTTTAAGTCTAAGTTCTTAAAATATCACTGTTTATCTTTGGATGTTACATAATGATACAAAAAAATTTACAAGGGTCCACAAGAGCTTTAGGAAACAATCATGTGAGATCTCCACCTGTGCAGAGGAAGTGTCTCTAAGATGTGATTACACAGCTTGCTTGGCAAGTTCTGTTATGGTGTTCACAGACTCCTGAAGCATGCTTTTATTAGTACAGCTCTGTGATGAATTATTATAACCTGAAATGAAGAGCTACAGGTGGTCAATGACTACTGAGAGAGGGAGAATCAGTGTCCTGCAGGGAGAAGCTTGCAGACATGTTGTCCATTCTCAAGTGTTCAGCCCTGGACACATGCACATACTAGCAAAGGTAAATGAACACAGTAAGTTATGTATCAGTAGATACACATATGTACATATGGATATATGGGTAACAATATTAAAGGAAAATCATGAATTAGGGAGAGGCACACAGAGTTTGAAAGTCTTCCTAAAAGAAAAAACCTAAAATATAAATACATAATTTCTTTCTCCCATGAAGAAAAATATATCCAGAACCTGACCTCCTACTTTAACTAATACAAAGCAGATTCAGAAGTATGTTTCTGCCTTTGCTAGTTACATTTAGCTGCATTTTTTATTTCAACATTACTTGAATCTTTGTAAAATTTTAGTGTCAAATAAAAATTTCTTGTCTGGAACAACAGAAGCCGCCTCTGGGGTCTATGTGCACAAGGAGCTTCTTGGTAAGCCTAGAATCTGTGCCAGGGCTGATTAACACTAGGTGGTGATGTTTCCCAGTTCTTCCTCTAGGAAGTCTCTGGCTGTACTAAGTAAGGACCAGTGTTCCTTCTAGGTAAAACAAGTGCCCTGAGAGCTTAGCCAGTGCTGTCCTGCTGTCCTTCCTGAGAGCTAGGGGCTGTGTCTTTTCAAACAAGTTAAAGAAGGAAACATACAGAAGCAATTCCCATTCTCAGTTCTCTGACACAATTTTCTTCGTTTCTATGGACAAAGGATTTTCTTTGGGGTTAGGACCAGGAAAGAAGAAAACAGACGACAGAAAAAAACTGAAAATGGACTGCTGACTTAAATTTTAAATGGTTTTAAAAACAGAACACCAGATTATTATTAACTGGTTTGGTTTGCTTTGTGATCAAGAGTATTACTCAATACCCTTGTATCTGATTCCTTTGTTACCAGGGTTATTGACTGACAGGGAGAACAAGTAAATTACAGAAGTTCAGGAAACCTTTTCAAACCTGAAGAACTTCTGCAAAGTAGCATATTTATATTTTCAAAAGCAGAAAGAAAAGGAAAATAGGGCTTCCTCAGAAAAGCCATGCCCCCAAACACTAAATGCTGGCTTTGAAGAAAACTTTGTGAACCTGGTGCTTGATTCTGGGCCATGGACTTGCTTGTTGAGGCAGAGTGTGAATGCTAGAGCACTTAGTCTAATTTGCCTGAGTTAGAAACTGGAGTTGTAGGGTATTTAATGGATCAAGGATCTGGAGATGTGGATAGGATATTAATGAAAAGAACCTGGAATCTTCTCTGACCTATGTTAGTGTGTGGCTTTCTCTTTGATACCAAGAGGCAAGAGCAGCAATAGAAAATAGACAAGAGATATTCTTTCAATTTGTTTTCCCGAGATCAGAAAATACCAGCTTAAAAGTCATTTCAAAATATAGCATGAAAGGTGTACAGAACATTAAGCTAAAGGTAAAGAAAAATACATGACATGTTAGGTCCAAGCTACAAAAATATTAAAAGAAATCTGGATATTCCACACCTAATTATACAAAACTTATTGACACACCACCAATGTTTTGGGAACACACAAGAAAACCAACTACTGCTGAGAGTAGAGAAAAGCTTGGTCCTATAGTATCACTTCCTTAACTCATCAAGATTTTCCACCCGTAATTCCTAGGTCAAGAGCCCAACACAGAAGAAAGAATCGAGAAGTTTAAGAAAAATCCATACAAGTCATGAAATAACATGAAAACTGCCTCCAGATATCTTGGTATTTATTGTTTTTGAAAGGCTTTCACTTTTAAAGATAATTATCTCTATTTCCCTGACCCTAGTTTCCAAATCACTTATTTAGGCACAAGAATAAAATGTCATACCATATAATTTCATTGTTCTATCAGCAGGAAACCAATTTACTAGTTACCACCAGCTGTCTGTAGAGTACCTTGGTAGATGCATTTCTCTGTATTAAGTGGAAAAATTTACTTTCTAAAGCCAGATTTTTGTTTCTCCTTTTCTTCAATTAAATACATTTCAAATATTCAATTTGCACAGATTATCTAGATCCTCTAAATTCTACTTATCTTCTAAACCCTACTAGGTTTTTGGTAAAATCTGATTGGACCAATTAATCAAGTGCAAGTGTTTTTAAATTAACTAGTTGGTGGTCAGAAAGATGAAATGAATCAGGAAATGTCCATCTAGTAGAAATGCTATATGCCACATATTATGTTTATGGAAATAAATGCAATTCATTTTTATGTTCTTCCTTAACACTATCTTTCTACTAGTTCAAAACTAAAGGATGACAAAATAAACACCTTGTTTCAAATTTAATGCTATGCATGCTCATTATTGTGATTCATTACTTTAAAAATACAGAGCCTCCCATCCAGACTAGATGTCTTGAACAGAATTTCTCTGTGTAGCCATGGTTGTCCTGAAACTCACTCTGTAGACAAGGTTAGTCTCAAATTCACAGAGACATCACCCCACCCCCCACCCCCACGCAGAAGATCTGCCTACCTCTGCCTCCCAAGTGCTGAGATTAAAGGTGTGCGCCACCACTGCCCAGCACTCAGAGATTTTTATGGTGACAAAATTAAAAAATCTTGTTAATTCAAAATGAAATGACTTGGTGTCTATCCTACTCTTGTTTAAATTATTTGGTATTTATCTTGTTTTTCTCACCTAAAAATGGATAGAATGGATTAAGATTCTCTTAGTTGCAACGTCTTATAAAGATGCTAAGGAGAGATTAGGACACACAGCAAAAGCTATATGAGACTAAGGGAGAAGGTGGACACTATTGTTTACAAAAAGGACCCTATGGGGGAAAAGAAATCAATCAGACATTAAGACTTCCAGCCTCAAAACTATGAGAAAATATTTGTGTGTGTGTCTTAAACTGTATACTTGTTGTAGAGCTCTAGTAAACTAATTTAATGAGCTATCTTCTAAGCCTCCCTTCCACTTGATGAACTAGAATTTCTGAGGGTTAGTCCTCAAGTTTGCCTTTTTAGTATATGCCAGAGGTAATTACTACACACAATAAAGTTTGAGATTATCTTGAATTTCTGTGTAAGAATATATGAAAAATCAAGCAAGGTTTTCTTTTAAATGGAGAGTTAGTGTTAATGAGAGTTCTTAGGTCTGAGGCATAAGGTAATATTTAGAGAATTTGATAATGAACACCTAGCATTGTGTTAGCTCATGCACCAACTGATGGACTTTAACTTAACATCTGAAACTGTTAAGTCAATCATTCCTCCAAGAAAATACAGTGCTTAAAATCTAAAAATTAGCGTTTTTTTTTAAAAAAAGATTTTATGTATTTTAATGTGCCAGATCCCCTGGAACTGGATTACTGACAGGTTTGAGTTGCCATGTGGGTGCTGGGAAATGAAGTTGGATTCTCTCGAAGAGCAGCCCATACTCTTAACTGCTGAACCATCTCTCCAGCCCAGAATAAATACTTTCAATGTGCTAATGGATATGAAAAAGATCAAAGAAAGTTACATACGTACATAAAAATACAAGCATTGACTATTGTCTTATAGAATTCAGAGACTGTAGTATACAACAACAGAACTAAAATAATATATAAAAAATGTGTGATGAAATGCTAAGTTGGAAAAACAAAGTCTATACCTGTATTATAGAACTCTAAAACTTAACCATTGTCATGGATTTGGCAGGTCAATTCAGGAAGGAATGGCTAGTCTCTGGTCTACAAAGTCAAGGCCTAGGCTCACTTTAGAGGCTTTTTGCTCACAAGTCTGATACCTGAGGCTGTTGACAGACTCAATTATTCACGTGGGCTACTCTGGTTTTCTTCACAAACTGATTCTAGGAGTAAGTTTTTAGGAGTAAGTTTTACAAGGGAAATGGTATGCAACAGAATGACATCAAGCCAGTAAGGGTGCTTTGACCCAAGCATGATAATCTTAAATAGGGCTGGGAGTGGTAACATTTGAGGAATATGTAGTCTGTCATATGGTAACGTTAAGGTAAGTTTCATTTTATGCAAGTAGACAGAATTTAATATAGTAAAACCCACTAGTCAAGAGAAAACAATGCATATCCTTTAAGAAAACAGAAATCATGATTTATTTTAATAGAGAATTTAACATAAAAACTGGTGAACATATTTTGGGAGAAATGGAAATATCCACATAAAACACAACTAAAAAAGGAAGGTTAGAACATTATAGAGGCTGGGAGAAATATTCTGCAAGATGGCAGAAAACTACTATAGCCTGCCAAACAATCACCATCAAATCCTAGCAACTGTGGTATGTACTAGGCAAACATCTAAAAATTAGACTATGCAAAGGTTCAAACTAAATGGACAGGAAAATTATTCCATGAGAATACTGACCAAAAAGAACTCCAAGAAGGTTAACGATAAGACTTTAAGGCACAACAAGATAATTCACATTGAGAAGATACAATTCAGCAGGAAAATATAACAAACTAGATTTACACTCTTAGTCACTGTTCTATTGCTGTGAAGAGACAACATGACCAAAGCAACATTTATGAAAGGAAGCATTTTTTGCTTACAGTTTCACAAGTTAGTATATTATTATTATCAGGTGCATGGGGGCTGGCATGGCACTGGAGAACTAGTTAAGAGTTACATCTGATCTGAAGGTGCATGAGCACACACACATACCCACCACACTCACACCCAGAGGGCCTGGCATGGGCTTCTGAAACTTCAAAGCCCACACTCAGTGCCACATTTCCTCCAACAAGACCACACCTCCTAATCCTTCTAATCCTTTATAGTTCCACTCCCTGATGAGTAACCATTCAAGTATGTGAGCCTATGGGAGCCATTCTTACTCAAACCACCACAGATGCACTTACTAATGTTGCCTCAACATATACAACAGAAGCATTCTCTGGGAGTAAAAAGCAAATAAACAGATGATTTTTAATATAACTCTTTGGCTAACTCACATTATAGTTTGTTAAAAACACATAAGGATATAGAAAATTTAATAATATTAAGAGATTTGATGTCACTGACATATACAGCACACAGCTCCTATTGACTACAAAATGTATTAGTTTGAAATTCATAAAAACTGTCATATACTGGACTACAAAGTGAGTCTGAAATGGATTTAAGAATTTAAAAAAATCTTTTAAATTTTCATTAGGATTTTTTTTTTTTTATGTTAAAGGAGTGAAGGCTTATTTTGTTCATGGGTGTGGACACTGGAAGACCAAATGTACAGCACTGAAAATTGTGTAGGAACTCTTCCTGGGTCTCAACCTGGCCAGGACCTCCAATGTGAGCCAGAAAAATCATCTTAAGTCAAGTCACTTCCACCTTTGAAATGATTGGTGCTATGGCTGTTTCCCAGTGTCATGATCTCCTCTAACGTAATCACCTTTTAAAGTATCACCTAAAAATAACAATAGCATAGATACTTGGGACTATGTTCCAAATGTGTACTCTTTAGGGACCCACTAAAACAACAGTAAAAGGATGTGAGTTAGGGTTGCAGTGCTACATTTCAGTGATCCTAGATCATTAGAATGTTTTTAAAAACTGGGTTTTTAAATCATCAGTATTTTCCAAGCATAAGGCTTTTGTAATAATCTTTTCATTTGAGTTTCAGTTTAGCTGGATTTTGGTTAAGAAAAAAAAAGATCTACTAATTTTTAGGGCCATTCAAGAGGTGAGGACCCTGCTAACCTCAAACCACATTTGGAACTTTGAAGGGATGAACTTTAAGGGTAAGGGCAGACAAGAAATAAAAGAACAGTAGTCTGAAGTTCAACCTTGAATCACATTAGAAGGGCTAGGAACTACGAGTGCCTGAAATTCCATCAAAGTGATTTTAGTCCCCAGGCAGAAGCAAAACCAAGTCTTTGAAGAATGAAAATATTATTCTAACAAATGATCTCTGCACAATTTCAAGTAAAATACTGGCAAGTATTAAAAGCATACTGGATACAGAGAAAGAACACAAGAAACAAAAGTCAGGTAACAGACTCAGAGGAAGGCTTTAGATTCTGAAATGAGGCAGACTATGCTGCTTGGGCTGGAGACATGGCTAAGGGCACTTGCTGCTCCTGTAGAGGACTAGGATCTGGTTCACAGCATCCCTTCTTGGGCAACTCACAAATGCCTGTAGGACATCTGATGCCTTCTTCTGGCCATTACAGGCACCTGCATATACATGGTATATGGATAAACAGAGGAAGGTGTGCACATGCTTGGAAACACACACCACATACACACATAAACGAGAGATTAAGGGTTTTTTTGGTAAGAAAAGTAAAAACTGCCAGAGTGATCAGTTTGCAAGTTTTCAAAGAAATCTGAGAATGAAAAATAGAAGGGCTAAGAACAATCAAAGACATTTTAACAGAAAAAAAGTTTGGAGGATGAATTTTGCCAAACATAAAAATAATATCAGCTACAGTGACAGAAGCAATACATTATCATTAGGACACAAAAGGAAAGGAACAGAAGGTTCAATAGGAGACACACATACTTTCTAATGCTACTATGATAGAAGTAGGGAAACAAAGAACAGTCTTTACCTAAGTACTACTGGTCAAGTATTAGCCATTATGTTCAGAATTAACTCCTTGTGAATTATACCTTAAGCCTGAAAGGCAAAACTAAAGTGCTTAGAAGACAAGATCCCACAAGCTGAGAATGAAGTTGTAATTATGGAACAAAAGACTGGTCCTGCTAGATATCTAGCTACAGAAGACATTTAAAACTATAAAGACAATAAGAACATGATTTATAGACTTTTCATGTACCAAATGAGGAAAAGCTATGTAACAGATTTGACAAGACACTTTTTCAAAAAACGAAAGTGGAAATGGCCATGTGAAGGGTGCCTATTCTGCCACTCCCCACCTTGCCAGAATAAGAGTATAGAGGAAACAGTCAATGAAATACAACTGAATATCCACCACACTGTCAAAATATAGAAACAAAAACAATCCAAACTGATCTCAATGTGGAGAAAAGGAACATTAGAGCACTCAGAGGATGGTATATGGGAAGGGTTGAAAGGAGGAAATGGAAGGGGAGGAAATGATGTAATTATATTTTAATTTCAAAACTAAAATATTACAAAAGAATACCTACAATCAAGCAATTTTGATCCTAGACATATTATTTGGAATCAAAGAGAAACAAAATACATTTATTATAGAACTGTAATTATTCAAACTAAATACATCTTTCTCATTCACAGTCAATATAACATAAACTGGTATATTAATGCAAAGATAAACTATTACAGCAATGGTAAATAAAATATGGCTACAACAAAGATGGGTGAATCACAGTGAGTGAAAGACATAAAAGAATGTAGAATGATTCTTTACATACAGTTCAAAAGCAGGCAGAATTCAACTGTTCTGTTTAGATTCACACACAGAGGGGGGTACTACCTCAAGAACAAGGTAACAGTTAATACAAAAAAAAAAACTGGACAATAGTAATTACCAGGGGTTTAAGATTTAGTGACTGGGGAGTGACAAGGAAGGTTTCTGATATTGATATCTATTAATTTCAATACTGTTTGGATAAGCAAATATTTTAACATTATTCCTTAAACTGTATATTCACATTTTATATACTTTCAATGTGCATTTCTCAATTAAGACAGGAAGCTTTGGGGGCTGGAGTGATGGCTCAGTGGTTAAGATAATTGGATGCCTTTGCAGAGAACCTGGTGGGTCACAACTATGTGTAACCCGTCTCAGGGGATCTGACGCCCTCTCCTGGCTTCATGAGCACTGCACACGTGTAGTGCATAGACACATAATCCTCAGTCACAAAAACAATCAAACAAACAAACAGCAAGAGAAAACACAAATTGCGTGCTCATTCTTCATCTGACTCCCTAGATCTAAACGTTCTGGTTTCTGGTTTTGAATTGGGACTCAAAAAACCAGAGTCTTGTGTATGCTAGGTAAGTACTCTAAGATAGAGCTACATACAACCCCAACTATGGTTGTAGTTTGTACTTTGACATTGTCCCAACAATGCGCCATGAAAGGTAAACTATAATAATATTTTTATCAAGTTCTACTTTTGGAACAATGTGTAAAGAACTTAAGACACATAATACAACTGCTTCAAATCCTATAAGGAATCGACTTTTGAAACCCCAAACTAGGTTTCTCATGGAGTGGCTATTCTGCCTGGTTTTCTCATTTATTTTTGCTCCTGGGGACTAAAGTTAGGGTTTTGAACTTGTTAAGAACACTCTGCTCCTCTGACTTATATGCCCCAAACTAGTCTGCTTGCAAACTAGTTTGCATAGAAGCAGTATTAACCACAGAATAAGAAGTATAATTAAAATCTCTGCAATGAAGCACAGAGCATGGTTTATGAAATTTATTAGACTAATTTTTAGGATATATATATATATATATATATATATATATATAATATTGAATGGAGTAACACCAATTGTTTTTTTTTGTTTGTTTTTTACACCCAGTATTCAATAGCTATATTTTAGTAGCAATAATCTTAAGGTACAAAATAACAATGAAAAAAGTTGTCATTAACTTTACTGTGGCTTTCCAATTTAGTAATATACCAGGATAGCAATAATCATTACCTACAGGAAACAAAACAAAACAAAACAAAAAAAACAAATGACGAAATGGTTGTAGGTTTAATTGTAAAATAAGCCTAATCCCAGTTGATTTTGTTCACTGAAGCACTCAACAAAGCACGGTTCTCATTTACTTCCAAAGAGACGTGGACTTAGGTAAACATAGCCAAGCTACTGGTTCATGTTTGAAGATTGCTGAATGGTTAACTAGAAAACATATTGCTACCAAAGAACAGAAAACAAAGTAAAAATTGGGAAAGGGGGCTTCTTTTACAAAACTCCTTTTATTGTTCTGACTCTCACTAGGTTCTAAGCCATGGAGCCTTCTTTTTCCTGTATTCAGTTTTATGTAACATTAATTTTGACGATACTAGGAATATGCACAAAGGAAGAGGTAGGATATGATAAAAACAATAGTTTACTTCAAATTTAGTCATTTCTTTAAAATAGATCTTGCCACTTTTCTTCATCGCTCAATGAACGTAATATTTTATTAGAAAGTCACCCATTTCCCAACTGGATACTTCATAAGAAGAGGAAGCCAAAAGTTGGTTAACATAAAGATTTTAAATTATTTGTAAATGGAAAGTAAGCACAGAGTCTAAAGAGAGACCGTTGGAATTAATACTGATGTATTTAATTCATCAAAGTAGCTACTAATGGTCTGAACAAGAGTAGGAGCTCCAGGCAGTGACTTTCGGAGGCTGGAAGCACTTGCTGTTTCAAGTGCATGATAACCCTTGTAAAAGAGTCCCTTGTTTTCACTGATTTCACAGCCAAGCACTGTTTGTATCTTTTAATGGACCCAATTATATTATTAATTGCAATTGTTCATATCAGGAAACAGTATTTCTCTCAATGAAGAAAACCTAAAAAAATATAATTTTTCTATCTCTTGTCAATTCCCATTTTGGGAATGAAGAGTAAAATGACATGCTTCCTTTAAAAAAAAATACTATTTTTTTCTCCATTACATTGCTGGAAGGAAAAAAAAAAGCCAACTCTACTAGTATTAATTTTAAATTTTCATCTATTTCTAAGGATATTCCCTTTATAAAACTTTTCAGTCTTATATACTATGACTAGTTTATAGTTTCAGATAAATAAAATAAAGGCATATTAACAATCAAATGATCTGCTCACATTTATGGATTTTTCTGAGAGTTTTCAGAGTGCATATAACACTGTTAACAATTAGTCCAAGTTAACATGTCATCATCATGGTTTACAACACTGATCATACAGCAAAACTCTTGATTTAGGGAAGGGAGTAATGTAACAAACTCTGTTAGCAGAGGTAACAGGACGCCAACTGTAGCTACACAACTATAAACTCCATTCTTTCATCTATCACTACCATCCCTCCTCCTCTCAGTGCTAAGAAATTTCCAAAGCCTAATTGTGTCAGAGGTACATTATCACACTGTTTATATTGAAAAACTGGGTCTCAAATACCAAATAAAAAAGAAAACGATAAAACAGGATTTGGCTTTTTGAATAGCCGGGATTCACTATTTTCTATTTCTTCATCTTTATTTCTTCTGGCCATAGATAAATGCTTTCTTTTTTCCTTCTTTCCATCCATGTTTAATATACAAACTTGTAAGCATTAGAAAATGGTATTCCAGTTCAAAGTTGCTGTGATCATAGCTGTATGAAGCAACAGATGTGTACTATGCTCCAAAATGTTTTGTAATTCTTCAGTGTAGTTAAGTTTCCTACTGATGTTTCCCTTAAACTTAAGGCAAAAAGAAATCCACAGTATTATGAGCTGATTAATTTTGGCTTCTGAATTAAGTACACTTTCCAAAATAAAGTAGTCCTGGAGTAAGTCTATGACAACTTTTATTCATCAGTGTCATCACTGAAGTAGTATCTTACTGGAGGTCCTGGCAAATCTTCATCTCCATCAGTGTCTGGGGCAAACGACACAGTAAGATCCACATACTTCTTCTCAGTGGAAGGCTTCACAAGTTTATGCATTCTAAGAAAAATAAGCAAGGATGAATACTGTGGTAATTCAGTAAAATGAAATACTTTGCTAATTTAATTGGTACTATTCAGAGACTGTGGACTTGTACATATACTTTAAATTATAATAATCTGCCTAAGCTCTATTAATTTTTCAGTACTAAAAGCTCCATATTGAAAACACTTATCTAATATGACCTCTGCTGGTAATGAGAAAAAAGAAAGGAAAAAAAAAATCCCAAGGAGTATTCAGTGAATCTGAAAAACCGACCTTCTTCCTACACCTCTTCAAGTTTAGAAACATCAGGACCCTCTAGCATTCTTTTTGTTTGTTTGATTTTGTTTTTTTTTTTGTTTTGTTTTGTTTTTGTTTATTGAGACAGGATTTGTCTGTATTGCTTTGGATGTTGTCCTGGAACTTGCTCTGTAGACCAGGCTGGCCTCAAACTCACAGAGATCCACCTGCCTCCCGAGTGCTGGGATTAAAGGCGTCCGTCACCAATGCCCAGCCCCCTCTAGCACTCTTTTAAAGAGAAAAGGTAAGCTTCATTAAAATTCTAAAATACAAGCTGTCCCCATCTATTCTTTCTCCTATGATATGGCTGTCAGAATTCTCCTGAAATGTAAATTGAGGAGTTACCTCATGTCAGGCTCTGGCTATGTTACTAGTTCATTCCCCACATAGCTCTTTCTATTTGACAAGGATACTTGGTCTTCATTCTTTCTATCACTCATATCCATATCATCTGACTTTCCAAAGAGAGATCAAGTGTACTTTTTTACTTCTTAAGCTAAATGTATATGCGCAAGCTGTTTGCTTTTGCATATAATAATCCTCCGTCAAATGCTCAATATAATCTAACCCAAAATCGAGGTTTGAGTTAAGAAAGTCTATGGTGCAATATTGACATCTTTATTATAATGGTTTTAGTTACATTTAATTAATAACCAATGTGTTAGTTTCTCTGAGTAGACTACAACAGGGCTATTTGTATAATAACAAGATAAGTAACAGAACTAGCAATTACAGAATACTACTCCTGTACTATTACATTTTTAGGGTTTACTATTACTTTAACACTGAGTAGCTGTGAGAACAAACATGGAAGAGAATCTTTTCAAACTTACTCAAGGAGCTAAAACAAGTATTAATAAATACCCAAGCATGTGAACATGTCTTTATAAAGCCAAGCTCATGCTCTTACCAAGCTCTTACTGAGTGATCTAAAGTGTCCAGCACTTAAGTAATAAATAAATACCCACTAAATTAAAAATGTAGAACATAAGAAATATAATTCATAAAGCATCTCATGCAACAGGGATCATATACTGGACAACTCTCAAAACAGGTTATTTTTTGCAGCCAATTTTAAATTACATTAATTAACACATGACCACACATTTCACTCACATCTAGGTGGCACACATCACAAGGACTTCTGATGGGGGAAGTACTTCTGTGTATGTTTATCCTATTGATTATTTAATAAAGTTCTGCTTGGCCAATGAAACGGCAAGTTAGGCAGGACTAGGAGTCAAAGAGGATTCTGGGAAATGTAGTAGATAACTGATGATCCAGGCAGGAAGTGACATAGCAAGGAGACTCATATTTAAAGAAGGAGAAACAGGATGGGTCTCTCTCTTTTCCCCTCCGCTATTGCTCCAGTGGCACGATGTGATCCACTGGCAAGGAGGGATGCCAATAAGGCATCCGATAAGTCTTATAAAATATATAGAGATTTATGATAATTAAGACTGAGCTAACAGATGAGAAATTCTAGTCATTGGCCAAGCAGCTTTGAACCTAATACAGGTTTCTGTGTATTCATTTGGGCCCTAACTCAGGCGGGCAGCTGGCATAAAGCACACATGTGGCAGTGGGGCTCGGCGGCTTTTGGCAGAAAGATTTATCGTAACAGACTTCAAATACAGCTTTCAAGTTCTCTAAATAATACTCAAGTGTCCTAATAAAAGCAACTGCAAGACAAAATTAGTGTTTACCTAATATAACAATTTTTAAGGCAAAGGTAAGAATTATGACACACACAAGTGATTAACTTCAACTGATAATCATGTTAAAGAAAACCATCATATTGAGATCTACTTATTCATACAAGCTGTTACTGATGCCTATTTTGTGACAAGTATTGGTCTAACTGCTTGACACAGAACAATGAAGAGATAAAATAAAGATTTATGTATTGTGAATCTTAATATTCTACTGTGAGAGGTAGGAATAATGACAGACATTAATAACACAGGCAAATATGTTGCAGCTGTAACGTAACAGTAAGTGTTATGAAAAAGAGAAAAAGGAGAGGCTAAGGAAAATAATATTTGCTGTGCAAGCATGAAGATCCAAGTTTGATAACTAGAAGCCAAATTAAAAAAGCTAAAAGTGGCAGCATTTGTAGTCTCAGTACTGGGGAAATGGGGACTGGGTTTACAGGCACTGACTATGCAGCTTATCCAAGACAGCAAGCTCTAGGTTATGTGAGAGACATTGCTCCCAACACTGACATTAATTTGTGATCTTTACATATACTAGAGCACACACCTCACCCCTCTATGTGTACATACAGATTCATATGCACATGAAACAAGATGGTTTTCTGAAAAGATAAACACAGTTGGCATACTCTTTAGTCAAACTAACAAAGGGAAAAAAGACCCAAATTAATTAAATAAGGGACAAAAGGAAATATTACAACAAAACAGGAATTAAATCATAAATCCTATGGACATATCCTAGAAACTTATATTTAACTATGTTCGGAAATCCAAAAGAAATGTATGAATTTCTAAATGCATGTGACTTACCAAAATTAAGCCAAAATGAGATAAAACAGTTTAAACATATAGTGAACATCAAGATAAAAGTGTTTTAAAAAAAAAGTCCAGAACCAGAATGGTCCACTGCAGAACTCTACCAGGCTTTAAAGAATAACTACTATCAATCCTCAAATTATTCAATGAAACAGAAAAGGAAGAAATGCCTTCAAAGTCACTTTGCAAAGTCAGTATTTCCCTGTTACCAAACCCGATAAAGACACACACAGAGGAAAATTACAGATCAGTCTTCTTGATGAACACAGCAAACTGCACTCAAGAACACATCAAAAAGATCACTCATTATGATTAAGTTTGCTTCATTCTAAAGATACAAGGATGGACATATACAAACCAATAAATGTAATATATCACATAAGTAGACTCATGACCCGAAGTTACATGGTCATATTTCAATAGATACAGTAAAATCATTTGGTAACAAAAACTTGGAAGAGACTAGCAATGGAGGACTATATCTCGGCATAATAAAGGTTGTATGTAACAAATCTACAGTGGGAAATGGAGTAAAACTTAAAGCATTCCCACCAAGTTCAGGAACAAGACATCTGTTTAATACAGTGTTTAAGTCTTAACTAGAGCAATAAGATAGGACAAAGAAGCAAAAGGGATACAAAAGGCAAAAAAATCCTTATTTGCAAAATAATAATTCTTTACCTAAGAGACCTTAAATGCTCCACCACAAATCACACAGAGCTGATAAACATTTTCAGCAAAGTGGCAGGATAAACAGTAACATGAAAAAATTCATCAGCCTTCCAATGATAAACATACTGAAAAGCAAACAAAGGTCACTCTTTCATTCATAAAACTACAGAATACTCTAGAATAAACAAAACCAAGGAAGTGAAACCAAGGAAGTGAAACCAAGGAAGTGAAACCAAGGACCTTTAAAATGAAAACTTTAAAACACAGAAAAAGGAAATTGAAGAATATACTTTCAGAAGATAGAAAGACTCCCATGTTCAAGAATAAACTCTGAGCAAATGATCATCCTGCCAAAAGTAATCTACAGCTTCAATGCAATCACCATCAACATTCCAAGACCATTCTTCAGTGAAAAAGAAAAACAAACAAAACAAAACCCTTAAAATTCATATAGAAACATAAAAGAACCTGAGTAGGCAAAGTAATCTTGGGCAGTGGAGGTATCACAAATAACATAAACATAACAGGGGTGGTACCATAACACCTGATTCGAAGTCATAGCACAGTGCCACTATAGTAAAACCAGCACAGAAACAGACATGTAGATCAACAGAATAGAACAGAGGAGCCACATATATAGCCACATGATTTTTGACATACACATATTGGAGAAAAGATAACATCTTCACAACAAACAGTGTTGGGGAAAGTGGATGAAGAATGGAATTAGATCCTCTCTCTTCTTACACAACAATATCAATTCTAACTGCAACAAAGACCTTAGGGTAAAACTGAAACGTTAGAACTGTCAGAGGAAAAAGCAGGGATTTAGCTTAGAGGCACAGGTAACAACTTTGCGGATAGGTCATCACTAGCTTAGGAAATAACATCAATTGACAGGGGGGACCTCATGAAATAAAAAGCTTCTGTATAACAGAATCCACTCAAGAGGCAATCTACCTACAGAAATGGAGAAAATATTCACCAGTTAAACATCTGAAAAAGGGTTAACATCTAGAATACACAAAGACCTAAAAAAAAAAAAAAAAAGGCAAATAACCCTATTTTAAAAAATTCGTTATAGAACTGAACACAAGAGTTTCCAAAGAAATACAAATGGCTAAAAAAAAGTATTCAAAATTATTAACCATCAGGTATCTGTAATTTAAAAGATTCTGAGATTCCATTTTATCCCAGTCAGAATGGCTATCAATAAGAATATAAACAAGGGGCCGCTGGCCTGACCCCTACAGAGGTGAGTGTACCCTCTGCCCCTGCCCTACTCCTGCCCAATGTCCCATTCACCCCGATCTCTCTGGGCCTACTCCTGCTTAGAGTGGACCCACCCAGGCAGGAAGGAGCTCCCTGAGTGTGTAAACACCTCATTCTTCCTTCCCTCTCTGACCCCTACTGAGTGAGGAGACTACCAGGAGAGGCAAGACCATCCAGAGCTGTGAACATTGAAGTCTTGGCCCACACACACCACCAGCTGACAAGAGGAGATAAAGAGACCCA